AAAAAAGCAAAGAGAACTTGCTTTTTGTGCCACTGGCCACTGCGTTAAACCCCCCCCCAAAAAAAAAGTAACAGAGGAAACAGTAAAACCGAACAAAATGAAATAAAATATTTTTTTAAAAAGGGAGCACGAAGCGAAGCATCTTCTCTCAAAAACGCGTCATTCTGAACATTCTTTCGAACATTTTATTTTATTTTATTTTATGTTCGAACATTTTATTTCACTTTAAAGCTTCATATGAGGCATGAAAGCACTAACAACAAATAAAGGTAACAAATAACCAAGGGATTATCTAATTCACAATATTATTTTAAGATATCGGAAGGAATTTCAAGAGTTAGTGAAAAAACAATTTAATTTACAAAATTCTGCCAAACCAGAGTAAATTTATGTAACTGTTATAGATATTAGATATCAAATTAATATTTTTCACTTTGTAACATTCATTGTTTCATACAGTACGCTAGTTTTCTACTATATATACTGTAATAGTGTTATTGTATAGTAGACATTAATCAAGCTTCTGTGCCTGTAAACTTTTTTCAAGTATGAACTTTCCACCCGATGTTACTTATTTTTCTTATACCTGTATAAAAAAGAAATTGGTCCCATACCTAAAAGGCGTAATAAACGTGTATTGTTAGGCATGGGGTTAATTATTCTATAATAAGAAATGTAAGTATCGTCAGGTGTTTGTGATATTGAGAGCGCATTTTATATTTCAATCGGGATCGCAGTCATAAAAACTATAAACGGAAGTGACGTCCTTAGATGCCAAAATTGTTTAAAAATGGCAGGTCCTCAGAGCAGAGTAGCAGGTGGTGGCTTTTGGAGCCAACCACAAGCACAATATAGCGCTAGTACTCACAAATTACTGAAAGGTAAGTATTTCTTTACTTACACATTACTCCATGAAAATCAAAACATTGATATTCTTCACTAGTACCCGTATCAGAATGACAAATTGCAGTCCGAAAATTCTGGAACTGAAGAAAATGGCACACGGGAGTCGGCAGTTCATTGATAAAACTGCAGACTCCTGTGAAAATGGAAAATATGAAAAAGATTTAAGAAATAAAGTCCGCGTTTTCATGAACGTTGCAGAATAACCTCTGAGGTCGAGAAATGTTATTTGAAAGATAAAAGCCGAGGCATTAATCGAGGCTTTTATATTTCAAACAACATTTCTCGACCTCAGAGGTTATTCTGCATCATGCACGACAACAAGGACTTTATTTTTATTCTACTACAGCTGTAAAATACGACTGAATTAGGTCACCAAGCTGCAGTAACGCTGTTCCATTTACCACCAGAGTGTAAATTTGTTTGTTTACCTGTGAATAGAATGCAGACAATTTGTGCTTTCCCTGCATTAAAATTAGCCTTTTATTAATTATAAATCTGTTTAAAGCTTATTTAGATTAATTTGTTGAATATACAATAACAAAATCAGTTTCCTATTTTACCACTTTATCACTAAAATCACGTAGGGAGGTTCGTGAAACAGCCCCGCTTGGCTTTAGAAACCTACATTCATCAGCTACTTTCTGCAATATACAGTGTTTGAATTGCAAAAGACGACACTGTCACACATCAATGTGGTCTAAATAAGTATTTCATGCTTAAGTCAAATGTACATTTCAACTCACAGCACAGGTTTGATACGTCGTGTTTCTGATCTGATAATTTTTTTATGACGTTCATGATTTATTGGAGAATAATGTCTGCGGCATTTTTTTGATCTTGGCAATAATCGTAGTAGGATTGAAATTTAATAATTACCTTGTATGCACAGTACAATTCTTATTCAAAACAGTGAATCTCCTGACCCTACCAAAAGTACAACAAAAGACGGGATTTTTAAAACATTAAATTAGAAAAAATAATTTTTCAGAGAAAAAACTTCTGAACCCCAATGAAGGTTGTCACAATACTATATCCACAATGCCAGGGGAACCCTAGCAAATTTCATTCAATGGGCTTACTATGGCAACATGTTTTGGAAATGTTTAAATTATCTCTCATCCATTCACATGAAGCCATTCTATGATAATCAACATGTAACATTTAGAGGTGTCAACTGAATCCTTTCAGGAATGAATTCCTTACAGATATATATAAATATTCTTTTCTTATAGAAATGATGCAGGAGTCAAAATTAACAAATTTTCAACAAAGACATCTTGAGAAATCTTTAAGAAGTAAGTAAAATGTTTACTATAATGATTGAACTTATTTTCTTTAGTTTTGAATTTCTAATCTTAAATACATTTAAACATCATAATCTCAAACTTTAATGGAACAATTAGCAAGATACAACAAGCTATTTGAGATTAAAGTTAATGAAGATAAAAAAAAAATGATGAAAAAGACCAAGGGACTGTCTATTAACTCTCTTCAACACTGATATGTGAGATATTAGAGTTCAAGGTAATAAAGTTCAACTTTCATTATTTTACGAGAGTAATATTGTAATATGACATGAATATGAGTGTACTGTTAATCAAGATTTTTTACATGTATTTCAGCAATAAAAATTGAAAAGCAAGTGATTTTAGTTCACAAGTTGTCCTTTTTATGAAATTATAAATGAATGACAATAAATCCAAATGTGTACTTTATAGGAATCTGCAGTTTAACCACTTCATAGCTTTATGAATTTCTAAGTTGTAAAAAACCCTCAGTATTTAATAAATGATTAGATTGCATGTTAATTAATTATTAATTTGTTTCAAGGTGGTGGTTCACTGCCAACAGAATGTGCCCCAACAAGCAGCGCAAAGAAAAAACCTGCACCAGCCCCAAAGAAGGAGTCAAAAGTATTAAGTGTCAGGTGAGAAAATATGTACACAAATTCAGAGACATATATGTCTGTAGACATTAAGTTTTATTTCTTTCTTTCTACTAGACTAACTACTTGTTTTCCTTAAATATATACAAAGGTCAAATTCAATAAATGTGATAATTAGCTCATCTGAGCCTTAAATAGAAGGCTCAAGTGAGCTTTTATGATCAAAATTTTCTCTGTCGTATTTGTCATTATCATTACATGCATGTACATGTATATATTGATAGGGAAAGGAATCTGCTGATAAAGAGCAGAATTTCCTTAATTCAGTAATGTGAGGCTAATGTGGTCTATGATGGACCTCTTGTTTTAAGAAAAGTCTTATAGCAAGTCATATATGAGATAGAAAAGACTCTCACAATTCCTCTGTTCATTAAAGATAAACAGTGTTTAAGATGGGAAGACAAATGACACAGATAATGATCAATAAATGTTGCCTTCTATTGCAAGTGACATTGAATCACATGTTTTTGTTTATCTGAAGAAGATAAAATATTTACTGGAGCTTGTCTTTATGTTAGCTTAATTTTGATTTTATCAGTATGCTTCCTTTCTTCCATTTGGTAGTTTATTTTACATTTGACTAACATCTTATTGATTAATTACTTTTTTTTTTATTTGCATGATAGAAACTACAAACCAGTATTAAGAACAAAAGAGCAAATGGAGGAGATGGGTGCCTTTGAGAAACCAGATTACTCGCCATTACCGAATACAAGTAACTACTTTGTTCCTTAGATTACTTGCCATTAGCCCATTACCAAATACAAGTAATTACTTTGTTCCTTAGATTACTCACTATTACCAAATACAAGTAATGACTTTGTTTCTTATATTACTTGCCATTACCAAATACAAGTAATTACTTTGTTCCTTAGATTACTCGCCATTACCAAATACAAGTAATTACTTTGTTCCTTAGATTACTCCCCACTACCAAATACAAGTAATTACTTTGTTCCTTAGATTACTCGCCATTACCAAATACAAGTAATTACTAAAATGTTCCTTAGAGTACTTGCCATTACCAAATACAAGTAATTTCTTTTTCGTATCAAATACCTTATGTTGTATTATATAAATAAATCCTTACAATGCATTTTTATTATACAGTCATGTATTACAAATATATGAAACAAACCATCATTTATGCATGCAAAAGAAAATTAATGTAACACCCAGTATAAATGTAATTATAGCGGCATATCATGAACTTCCTCTTTTGAACATACAAGTTTATTCGTTATAATAATGGTGTCTCTTCTTGCTATATTCCCCAGGATAACCAAATAGAAAGGCTGGTAACATTATGGCATTTGACATTCAAAGAAGAAGAACGCGATGAACCGTCCACCTCCTTCCACTATACCAAATCGACAGATTTGATGAATGTAATTACCTGGTATCTTTAAATATGAATCTAATTGAATATCTCTCACCAGCAAGTATATACAGAAGTGTAAAAATTAACCATCCAATTAAGTATAAACCAGGTTTTCATTTTGAAAAGTTACTCAAAAAATGTCCAATTTGACAACACTGATTATATGAACTGTGGATAAACCTTAATTTTCAGCCATTTAGTGAGTTCAATATTATTTGTTTTATATCTTTATTAGTACAACTGGAAATTGATGAAAGAAGAGCATTTCTATATAAAAACATACAAGTAATTACTTTGTTAATACAGAAATTTCTCCCCAAAACAAAGTTTTAACAATTGAAAAGTAAATTAATCAGATTAATATATGCAAACGTACTATTAAATAATACAAAAATCAAAACATTTCTTGAATACATGTTTTAGTTGTAATAATAAACCTTTTTATGGCATAATCGTCACCATTACCAAACACAAGTAATTATTTTTTCGTATCAAATACCCCCGTTGTATTACATGTATATGAATAAATCCTTACAATGCTGAAATTTTTTAGTCGGTTATTTGTTAAATGTGTTTCATGTAAATTTAATTCAATATATAAACTTATATTTGCCCATTTCATTTATTTACAGATCAATATTTTCATATGTAAAATTAAGGGTATGGTATAACAGTTCAAATTAAATGAATTGTATGTCGATGTATGTTCGGCAAACATGTCTTCAAAATCTACAGTTTTTGTATTCCGGTAGATTAAAACACGTAAACAGTGTAATCAAGGTTATGTGAAACAGAACTTGTATTCTGCAGTGTAACATCAAATATGATGATAAATGCAGAATCAGTCAAACATAACACTGGCAAACATCATGGCATTTGGAGAGGACATCGACCCAAAGAAGAAGAAAGCGATGAACCATCCACCTCCTTCAGACTATGAGGAACCAGAAATTGACAGATTCGATGAATGTAATTATCTTTAAATATGAATCTTATTGAATATCTCTCAAAAAGAATATATACGGCTATTATTGTAAATAATGTAAATTGTTCCAATGAGAGTAATTAAACCAGTGTTTTCCTTTCTGATAAAGTTCATACAATCATAGATTCTTTGACAAAAATTTATAATTGGATATACCTTAATTTTCAGCTCTCTCAGTGTTTTTCAATAGATTTGTTTTAATGTTTACCTGTCAAAGATCATTGACGGACACACAGAAATTGGCTTCAATTATGGGGTACATGTACTACCGTTGTGTAAAGAAAGGACAAGTACGAGCGTTTAATAGCCTGCATTTAGATAAAATGTGCAGCTAATATATTAATTTTGAAATTAAATACATTGGTAAAATAACAGTTTTTTAATCTTAAATTAATCAGATTATTAAAATATAAAATATGCAAACGTACTATTAAATAATACAAAAATCAAAGATAAACAATGAAAATGTTTTAGTTGTAATAATAAACCTTTTTATGGCATAATCGTCAACATGCATTCCTTTTTAAATTTTTCAGAAATATTTCTGTTATCCCTGGTTATAAGTAATTTGCCAGTAATAATATTTTGTGGATTGCTTATAAATATAATATATTTTATGTAATGTTATGTTATGTCATAATTTTTTGTAGAAAATTCGTGAGATGGAGTTAATTGACAAGAAGAGGACGGCAGAGCTGGAGAGAATGATAGAGGAGGAGCAGAAAGGAAAGCAGTCCTCATCGTGACCATGTCTTCCAGTCTCCAACAGGTGCTGGATAAAACAGAGCAGTGTGTATAGATTGTTATAGGATTGTACACAGCTCAGGAGAGGAACATTGGTATAATGTAATGTCTCTCCAGACAAAGAAACTCCATGTGATGTGACCATATGATAATCCTCAATAACTACCACAAAGTGGATTGCAGTATCTCAATAAATGAATTCAGAGTGCTGTAGTATAGGATGCTGTGGACATAGTGTAATAACGAGGAATTATTATTTTGTTACCAGAACAACAGCAGATCAAAATGGACTGTTTCTAATGTACACTTACACAAAAACTTACACTTGTAGGTTGTTGTATGTTGCAGTATATAAACTTTGGTGTGCAAGAATGCACAAAGTCAACAATATTCATTTTAAATATGTATATATTTTTTATTATTATTTATTATATTTGGCAAACAGTACTAGTACACATGTATATTATTTTCTGAACTTGTTTTGTTTACTTCATCCAGTAAAATTTTTAAATATAAATTCTAGCTTCATGCATGAGCAGCACAATTGCAAATCTCAATGAGTACAAGGAAGAAGTTTTATACACTGTATAAGATATTTAAATCTAGAAATTTTTGCTATTGTCATAATTAAGTTATATATACATGTAGTTATACATGAATATAGGAGTAATTATTGCTACAACTTTTTATATGCATTGTATACAAAGCACATTACACAGTAACTAAATAGCAACCATCCAAAACACATCTCCACCCAATAAATAATAACACTGCATTCTGTGGAGTGTGTTAATTGGCTACTTGCTGTCCTCCTTTTTAATTGAGAGTGCTTTGAATATAATGAATTCCTAAAAATCTTCATCTTTATATATTGTAATGTTTTCTTTCAAAATGTTAATTGCAAATGTACAATAGCAAAAATTTCTAGATCTAAATATATTATACAGTGTTATATGATTGTATATGTATATAAAATATACATTTATAAATTGAGCTGTTTTAAAATGATTCACAAGCATTGCATCATTTTCTCATTCATTCATCAGCTATTGTCAGTAATGATAACACATGCTGTGCCCTGTCTTTCTGTCTCTGATGCATCAAGCTATGTTATTTTTGCCAGTAAAATTTTTATTTTTTAAACAAATATATGTACATGTATGTGTGTTTCACCAAATACTTGGACAATAAATTTTGATGTTTTTTTTAATGTGTCTGTTTGTTTAAAGATGATTAATTATTTCTGTTTATTAAAATTCTGTCAGAGTTATTAGGTTCAACAAGGGGATATATTTACATTTGCTGATGTCTTTCCTTATATACAAATGCTAATAAATTTGAAATTCAGTTTTCAGTGGTCACATGATCAGACTTTCTTGCGTAATATGGAAAGTAAACTGCACAAGCAATTTGGAAAGTTCCGATTGTGACCTCACATGACATCGTAGAAATCATTAATGTTATATGTTGCATTTCAAAATCAAAGTCTAAATAATGCCTATATTTCTTTGCAACATGAATGAAAACGTAAAATACAAATTTAAAAAATCGACTTGAAAGTTAATTACTATTCATGAAAGTTGTGCATACATGTACATTATAAGGACGTAGCATTGGTTATTGTACCTTATGACACTTATTTTCCGTGATTAGCAGAATATTTATTATGATTCTGAAGAGATGTAAAAATGCAAATTTGCACCTGAATGTCATGCTCTTATTAGGAAAGACACGTGCACTTAACTCTTAGATGATGCAACACGTACTACAGATTGATTCCACATGATGATTCTATCATTTGATATTATGTTAATGATGGCAAATTATCAAGTTCTTGATACAAATCCCCAATGAAACGTACGTACATTTACAATAACTATTTATCTTTAATTTATTTGCTTGAACGAGAGAAGCAAATAAATTGAATGAAATATGCCAGAGGTCCAATGGCAAAGTGTTGACTTAGAACCCCTGGCATTGCAAAGATGATGAAAAATAATGATCTTGCAAATTTATATTGGCTAATGCAACAATGCTTGAAGCAGTAAAATGAGCATTTAAACGAGAGTGAAAGCTTTACATTGTGACGTCATAATAGAGCAACGCAAAAACACAATGCTTCGTGACATATTTCATATAACAAAACGCAACAAAATAAGATGTAAACAACACACAAAATGCTATGAAGGTATTAGAATGGGAATAACTATCATCTAATTTAGTATTTGCGACCGTTAATGCTGAGTTAACGGTGAGTACCGTCACAAACATCCATCGTTAAATCAGCATTAACGGTTGCAAATACCAAATTAGAAGACAGTTATTCCCTAAATTAACTTTAAAATCACCGCCCTCCTTAATTCTTTTCCTGTTCACAAAAAATATAAAAGCTGCATGAATACATGATAATTTTTTAATTTCAATTTTTTTCATACATTTGTATATTCACAACAAAAAATCTTGCAAAAAATGTATATGGTATCAATCAAGCTGAAATAATGAAAATCAAAAACCATAAAATAAAATAACTTTTGTATAATTATTATCCTAATCACTGTATAAAACTTGGACTAATTTGTGATATAAGGGCATATCCCCACCTGGAAGTCTATATAATTTAAAATCTTTAAACAATGTTTAAAGTGCAGATACATACATGTAAATTGTATACAAAATCAGAATTGGCAGCAAAACTATGATTATTAAATAAGAGGAAAAATGGAGAGAAATTTTCTATTTTCTCCTAAATCTATAAAAAGTTTGAATTTACATCATTTTCTCAGCATCATATCTACATTTGTAACTAATGATGTCATAGCTGATGTCATAGCTGTAATTTCACGAGAAGCACCACACGCGAATAAAATTACACGCCTTTATTTTTATGGTGCTTTGTAAAATTCAACCGTCCACAAAATCTTTAATTTCTCTACAGTAATTGAAGTGCTTTGATTTCTCCACAAATTCTTTAACTTCTCCTATGGCTGATAAATAGCATGACCTACTGGCTAATATATTATTTTTTCTGTTTATTTTGGGAGCAGAAGTCAGTCATTGAGGAATTTGGTCCTTTGAACTGTCTTTAAAATGTAAAATATCTTGTACTTTTATTGAAAAATTTACTGGAAAAAGTGAGAATACTGATACATTGTATAAATTTAAAATTCATTTTTTGTAAATGGTTAAAAAAATTTAGCTGACTTTAAGGGATCCTCAACATAAAAATACATTATTTATAATTAGACATAAAAAAAATACATGTATAGTCATAATACCTCAATACATTTTTGAAAAAAATTTGAGGATGAACAATTGTACATTAATAATTGATGCTGTAAAATGGATAAAATCTTCAGTTTTTCTTCTCGGTGAAACTACAACAGTGCTAACAACCATACACAGCACTTCATTAAACCTCAAACACACACACACACACTCATAAATCAAAATAAAATCTGATTATTTTAAAGGTTAATATTACATGCAGCAGCAATACATGTAGGAACATATCACACAAAGCACCAAAGGTTTAGACATATATTATATTATACTAACATTGCACTATTTTTACATCAGTCATGGCACAGCTACCCTAAAATATGCTAAAATTAAATGTATTACAATTATATTGGGTATTGTTCAACTTGAAATAAATAAGTGGATGATGATGAAGCCCTTATCCCTGGGTTATGTCCCTTGGGTCTGATTATTATGCAATGCATCCAATAGCACTTGAAGTTATGAATAACTTAAATAAATATAATCCTCTTGACTACATTCATAATTATTTGCAAAAATTATGTAGGTTAATACTTGTTTGGTGGAAACATGTTGTTTGAAGAAACATTTCATAATTTCATCACTGCATTATGTAACACGCAATGGTATAAAATTTCTAACAAACTAGAACACAATAAATCAAGATTTTCTATAAATCCAAGCTATGGTTATGGCATAAAATCATTTAACTTAAATATTACACAGAATTTCAGATCTAAAGTCTGGCAGATCAAATTACTGTCACGGCAAACTTACAATTACTTAAGAATTTGAATATCAGAAAAACTATTAATCAAAATTGAAAACCAACACAAAGAATTTTACATTGAAAATTCTGGTTTTCTATATTTTTAAAATCTTATCAGAAAAAAAATCCTTAGAGAAAAAGCATTTTGAAAATAATTTTAAAGATTATTCTGTACTAGTTTATCTATGTAAACATTACATAGTATAAACATCATTCATCTGAAACTTCAAAATTGATGAGTTGACTTTTGTATATGTAAAAATACATGTACATGACCATAATCATTTTGTTTTTTGAAATATTTTACGACAAAACTGTAGAAGAATAACTTTGAAAACTGTTTTATATAATGAGAGACAAACAGACTTGTGGAGAAATGGCACTTTACCTTCAAATAACTGATAAGCTCTTTTGTGATTATTTAGAAGAAATTGCTGAATATATTATATATGACATAACCATTTGGATTAAAGACAAATTCACAAACACAGAATAACTATCACAATTTTTAGATAATCCCTATCACCAAGACAGACATGTTTGTTAATATTCACACTATGTTCTATGTCGGTGAGGCCATCCATGTTTACCGCCAAGTAACCATGAATCGTAGTGCATTTTGGTATTGCCAAAGCAGCTATTTATAGACTTCATCACCCCATGATCAATCTGATAATACAGGAACCTGGGGGTGTAGCCGTCACGGATGGACCGACACACCGTCACCAGCCGAGGTCTGTGCCACAATCTCAGGTTGGTCAGAAACTTGAGCAACATGGAGGTTCTCTGTACAGTCTCGTTCTTGGTGGGCCTGTGGATGAGAACCATTGAGTCGTCGGGTGTATTGGACCCCATACAGATCTGAAATCCCGGGTTGGTCAGAGGTAGGTAGGAGTTGAGCGTAGTTGTCAGACAGAAGCCGATCTTTTTGAGCATGGAGATCTGCTTGGCATTCAGGTGTCCAAAGAAGAGATCGACCAATTGATTGAGAAGATTCTCTGATTCCTTACTCTTCTTCTCACACGACACTCTATTTCCCTGATGCCAGAGATACTGCTTTAACATGTCCAATGCCTCTCTTCTTGCCTTATCTTTGCATTTCTTGTAAGACATTTGTTTAGTTTGTGGTTTTGATTTGCAATCTAATGCAACTAAGAACAAGTTTAAAGCTTTCACTAGAATTTTATCTGTATCTTGTTCTTGCTTGACAGATTTCGGACAAAACAATTTCCACAGGACACCGTTCATCATCTTTAGTGATGGCACAGACATTCCCAGGTCCACCAGGGGCTGAGACACGTGTGTACAGCCAAAGAAATCCAGGTCCACATCCAGCATCACATGATCCTGCCTCGGAATCCATTCACTCCGAGACGCCTTGCGAACCGCCTCGTCCTCACACAACGATTCCAACACAAACTCTCTCTTAATATTACACAGCGATGGTTTTATTGTTTTCTCTGTACCTACATTTAGAAGTCCCTCATGAGGAAATGGAGTATAGCTGCATTCCTTGATACTGGACTGGTTTTTGTAGCAGGTACAGATGACCTTTTCTTTGAGTGCCTCCCCCGATCTGACAGTAGCAGTCCCTACTCCTCCCCACACCTTTTCATACACCCCTTCATGGTTTTCTTGGTCCCACCTGGGCCACACCCAGATAATTCTTTTCAACATACCTGCCACGATAGATTGCTGAAAATAGGAACAAGTAATATTTATTAACTATTATTGAGATCTTACATTAAAATTGTGTATCTTTAAGACCATGTTATTTATACTTTTGTTATAGATTTTGATCTGTTGGCATTACCATTATTTTACTCATCTTGATCATTGTACAATGCACTTGTATCCTACAAAGTTTTCATGAATGAATACATTGACTTGCATACTGTTCAATTTCTTAAAAGGATATTATGGACACATGCTTTTTAATAGCTATATAGAGTCTGATTTTATTTTTCAGATGAACTATACTCAAACAATTCTAATGTAGTTGTGAAAAAGTGGCAGCCCACAACCGACCCTCTGAATCACTTGTAAGATGCTCTATAACTAAGTTATCAAGCCACATACTATCTAACCTGCCTCACTGTCACACAAGTATAGTGAATACTTAACATTTCTCTTTGATTAATCTAAAGGCTACCTACAACAATAAAGACATCATTTCTCTGCACCATCATATTGATTTCTCTACTGTCCTTTGGCATTCTGAACATTGGATATCCCGAGAAGTAGAAGGGTGCCGACATGTCACTGTGACCATCAATATGAATCTGAATACGAGTGATCAAGGTATCATTAAAACAATCATCAGATTTAGAATGTGCAAATTTTACTACTGAACTCATCAAACTCAAACAGTGGTAATAACTGGTGAAAAAGTCAGTGGCCGGGAAACCAAAAATGCTTACCAATAAAAATTCTGTGAAAGTTTTTTTTTTAATGTATGAGAAGTGTTTACGCACATATTAACATCAATTATTTGACTATGCATTATATGGCAAATTATATGAAATGACTTCAACACAATTTTTTAAAAAGAATTTCTTATCAACCATAAAGCCTTATAAACAGATGTTTTGAAGTGTGTTTTTCTTCAATATTCAACATGATAAAAAACACTTGTATCAAAACACCACTAAGCATCTGTCATTACTGTAAATTAAAAATTGTTTGCACAAACACTTGATTTTATCAGTAAAAGTTAGATATCATACAATCAGAGGTTTGCTGCAAACATTACTGATGGTAACAGCTTAATTAAAAAAGAAGAGTCATAAACATGATAAATGTGCAAGTCAACTGGTCAAATACAGAATATTATTTTTGAAATTTTAACTGACATACCAGAACATTGCCATGTGGTTTCAGAGTTCCAAATTTAACTGCATTCATCCAGATTGGAATCACTACAAATATATGCACAATCTTAAAAATCATGAAAAATTTAAATTAACCGAAGTGTCATACCTCAGTACTATACAGTAGATGGGCTGTAATGACTGGTATGCCATGATTTAAATACCAAAAATTGTATTGTGGTACAAAACCATGTAGTATACCTGTGTAAAAACTTTAGATATTAGTAAAGAAAATACAAGTCTGTATAGTCTTTGTGTACAGAAACAGTCAATACTTATAAATTAGCTCCTCAAAAAATAATATTTGCAGGTTGTTTAATTTTCATTATCTGATCATGATTATGGACCAAGTTCTAAGTTTTATCTTGCTTTTCTTAGACTCTCACTCTCAAGACTTAGCACTACCAAGAAGTCTTATGAGCGAGGGCCCAGGGAATGTGAGACTTCTCTAATCTAAATTTGACAAGGTCATGGCTACAGGTATTTGAACTGGGGGGTCACCAAGCCATGATTATCGCTTACTCCATTTCTTTGCATCTTGTGCAAAAACTGGATAAAATTATGTTAAATATAGGATACTGAAATAGCATAATGCAACAAAACAGCAGCTTGCTGTAAAATGCTCAGTGTCACTGTCAGCTCAAATTATTTTTATTTATTTATTTAAATTTTTTTTATAGACTACTGCGGCTTCCAGTGACCCCCCCCCCCTGTTCCTCAGCCCCTTCATGTTACCCTCCCCCCCCCCAAAAAAAATCAATATAAAATATAATAATTTTTTCTCAAAAATCTAGAGTTACTTTACCTTGATGGTGTTCTTCTACTACATGCACAGGCAGCCTATTTTTACTGGTCCAGTTCTTCCATTTATGGTCCACATGGCTACTGTGTAGCCCCCGGATCCTGCGATGACGATTGGCCACGAGGTTAAATGTGGTAGAACTGGCTTTGTTGTACTGTAGCAGCTTGACATAAGTAACGACGAACGCTGTCACCACCGTCAGGGCGACGAGATTTCCTGCCAGATTTCGTCTCCAAGTCACCCGCATTTTGGCTTTCAAACAGCGAATAAAACTTCTTACCATGAATTTATTTTTTGACTAAATCAAACAAATCTACATCTCTAAGAAATGGTATTGCCTACATTATGTAATGTCCATTTTTTCGTCAACAATTTGTTGTTTTGATTTTCTTCATGCAAAAACTGTCAAAGAGTTCCAAATAGAGTTGTCGTTCTTAGTTCTGAAGGTTAATTGATAACTCGTACTTTTTACTATTCGATCAGAACACTTATCACAAAACCTGCAATATACTTAGTTTAGTATTAAGTTCCCGCTAAAATATATCTTTTTTCAATCGATATTGTTTACTTTATTTAAAAAAAAAATGATATAAAAATCAGTAAAATGAACTTTGAAGGCAAAATTAATTTGGCTAGATATTGAATATCTTAGAATTAAAATAAAAGTGAGAAATGATTTATTTTTATAATATTGCTGTAAATCATAATTTAAAAAAAAATACATTTTATCCAATAAAGGAAAATGCTTGTGGATTAGTTATGTGCAGTAGCGTTATGTGTAAAGGGGGGAAGGGGGGGGGGGGGCACCAGGTAAGGAAACAGTAATGAAAAACAAATTTGTTCAGTATCAAAAGTTTTATTAGAAAAATAAGCTTTATATTACATGTGAAGGCTATCTGTTTTGCTTCTTTTTTTTTTACAGGATTAAATGCTATACTAAACAACCAGTGCTTATAATAAATTCAAGTAAACATGCATGTAATATTCAGATTTCTATTATGATATCAAAACTTAAATAAATGCTCATGCATGTGATAAAAAATTGATAGTCTTCATGTAAGTAAGTAAAACAAATGTGTTAAAATAAGCAGCTTTTACTCATTAGTATCTACATAAAATAAATGTACATACACATGTTCCAGTAAAAGAACAATGCATAATATCTCAACATACAGATCAAAATAAGTTCAGAGATCATTCATGAAAATGTAAATTATAGAATGGCATAATTTCAGCAACGACTTTGATGTAGCATCTAAAAAAAACTAATAAATGAAATCTTGGTATTATAATAATCATTGCCGTCATATATGTGTAAAATTAAAAGAGATCTTTGTGAATTGCAATATTCTTAAGGATGCAGTTGAAAAAAAAATAATAAAGCTGAATTTATGAAGTTGTAAGAAAATGTATTTTTTTTTGGTTCTGCCAGTAATAAAAATTGAATAAAATATTGGTAATATATCTTTTAAGAACTCAATTGAACATCCACTGATCCAGAAGTACACTTCACAAAATGTGTTGTCAGTGGATGGACAAAGAAGCAGTACAGCCATTTTATTACAACCATATTCACTGTAAATCTCACTTCCTCATTAATTCTGTATTTAAAACTTTGAAAGATGAAATAATATATTACTTGGTCTGAGTTTGTGAAACAATCATTTTAACATTAAATGAAGGACAAAAAAAAGATAAACTATGTGTACTAATCCCACAATATATTAGAATTGCACAATTCAACTTGCAAATTTAAAGCTTTAAATGCAAAAGTGAATTTGAAAGAAATTGGGATTTGCTTTAGTCTATGTTGTTTCTATAAATAGACCATGACACTGAAAAGTCTCAAACCACAGGTATAGACCTACATATTCACTGTCTCATGCATACACATCTATGATTATATACAATGATTGTTCTGTATTATTGTTCCCTGCACTTAATTAATTCCGTATCATCTTATTTTGAACACATGGCTTTGCAGTGACTATAAACATTATAACTCATTCAGTGGTAATAAAATAATGTTAATGAGATAGCACCAATGTGAAAGAATAAAGGGTACATACATATATATCACAAGTTTAAAAATACTGATGCAACTTTTACATGCATTCATCACAGGAAAAATGACACAAATATGAGAAAATAAGGTGTATTGTTGTTTAAAGCAACCAGACATTTTCATCAAGTTCCGCTTTGCAGAAGTGAATACTTGTACATACATCATGTAGTCTACCATATGTGCATCTTCTGTGAACACAATATCATCCTGGTAATGACAGAAATCTATTATTTACTTATCTTCAGTCTAAGAAGGGTAAATATATTGTGTATTGTAAATATACTAAATTCAGTTAAATGCATCGTAAATTCAAAAAAAAAAATCTACCCGGTATTATATACAGAAGGTTCTTCATCAGTGCTTTGGTATCTTGTTGAAAAAAATCAATTTCCGCAAAATATCACTCCCATCAAATATAATATAACTACAGTAGCTAGTTGTTAGTAAATCACTTGTACTGCAATGACAAATTATTTGGTGTTCATTAAGAAATATCATATTAAAAAAGTCTAAATAATAATATTTTTTATAACAATTTCCATGTGTTCAGAATCTTAATGCCTGGACTTTGGTCAGTATAAGTGAACATTGGAGAGCAATTTCTTTAAAACAATAGATTTAAACAAAACAAATTTAACATATATGTATAAAATGGAAGTAAAGGCAGTGCAATGTCAACATGTCCCTTCAATACATGTACTTTCAATATCAACTTTTAAAACAAAATGTATCAAAAAATCTATGTATTGAAAAAAGAACAGGCACCTGATTAATCATCAACATAGAGACCCATTTAAAATGGAAGACAATAAGTTTACAAACACTTACAACAAATGAACTGGATTTTATCAAAACTTATCACAGGCTTGGAACACTCAGCATAAAAACAGGTAAACCTATCCCACTTCATTAACATCTGTCTGTAAAAAAATACTAAAAAAAGTTAAGGACACTGGCGAAATACATGAACATGCGTACATGAAAACTAAAAATTAGGCCATTAATTTTCTCTTACATTGTGTATACAAATTAAGTAATCTAGTCAAAGAAAATGGAAGAACATAATTTTAGTAAATTGCAAAAAAAAAAAAAAAAAATAATAAAAGAAATTGAATTTTGATATCTGGCATTATAGTGGCATATGTAAATGTTGCCAATGTTGAGACAAAATATGTTGATGCAATTGTTGATTAAGGTTCTGAAGTATCCTCAGTAAGACCAGTTTTTAAGTTGACTAATAGCTATCGAGATTCACCCCTGTAATGGTGAACTCACTATCGTATAAGACCTGTCTCAAGATTTACCCCAGTAATGGTTGACTTAGGATCTGGTGACATAGAACTCCATGATGTTTCTTCACACTTTTTAATGGGGGAACACTCCTCAGTGATCTCCCCTATCTGACACACTTCCTGTATGCTCCAGAACTTCTGACACAGTTCATCTGTCCATTCCTCTAACACACGTCCGTGTTTCTGTCCATTCTCATCAGCAGCTGCTCGAGCTTCTCCAATGTTAGTCACTTTCAAAACTTCCTCAAACTCTGAAAAATCTTGTTTTGCATAATAACCAATAGGTCCATTGTGATGTAGAATTGCTTTGCTAGGGTCCAGAGTCTTACCCCTAAACACAGTTAAAGGAAGAACAAGGAATTTCACCTCCGCAAACACTTGCCACCTGTACATGAGTTTACTGGTCCACACTCCTGGTCGTAGAGGCTGTTTAAGCAAAGGTTTGAATGGTTTGATTTGACCTTCGCTTGTGATGTTGACATCATAGGAAGCAGCTATGACCTTGGCAGGGTCAATCCATGCAATAGATACCATTAATGGTTCACCTGGTCCCCAGGTATGTTTCAGAACTAGGTCACTGTAGGGTCCTAAGAATAAGCCATAGTTCCTAAATATGGACTCCTTTAAGTCATAATCTGTGCCAACCTGTTGGAAAAAGTGCATTGTTAATTACCAGTCATCTTGATACAGTGGACCCTCAGATATCCGGACGCCAGATATCCGGATGCTTCAGTATCCGGACGACTTTTCTTCGGAACAGAATTTTTTATTGTTATGTATTCTTGTTTAACTGGTAATTCAGATATCCGGACGCTTCACATATCCGGACAAATTGACTGGGAACCAAAGCGTCCGGATAAATGAGGCTCCACTGTACTTGTTTCTTATGTCTAAAAAATTAAAATTAACTAGAACTGTCCAAACGGGACAAAACACCCCCCGCTGGCTTTTTCAGAAGTAAGTTTTTCCAAATTTAAAGAAAGATATGTATCAACAAGAGGCCCATGGGCCTTATAGGTCACCTGAGCATTATGCAACAACTTTCCAGAGATTGAATTTGATTCATGTTTTAAGCCAGATGCTATGGCATTCACAATTTTGAAAGAGGCACCATTGATCATCATAACAATACACTTAGCAGTTGCTTAGTTTGTTTACTTAATACCCATACCCAGGGTAGGGGAACAAAAAATGTATTTCAACTATAATCAGTAATATTCAGTAATAATCAGTAGTGCCCCTACCACATATGAACCCCTGACCCTTAAGCCTGATATTTGATTAATACCAAGGAGCTAGGGGTGGGACGATACACAGATCTTGCGATACGATACATATCTCGATATATTGGCACGATACGATACGTATCTCGATATTATGATAAATCATAAAACTATTAAAAATAGCATTTTATTTCATTTTTTTCTTGACATTAACACATGATAAATTATAAAACTATTTAAGTATTCAAAATAATAAGTAGATTATTATTTTTTTTTTGTCTTGACATTTACTCAAATAATTATTCTATGTCAAATCATGTGTGCTATGAAATTAATACTTGAAGGTCATCAACTTCATTGACTAAAACTTTACAAAAATAATAGTAAAGGAGAATTGTATATATTACCAAATTTCTATTAACAAGTTGTTTACAAATAGTTGTGTAGTTTATCAATGAACACTGACTAAAAATTCATTTAAAAAAATCACATTTACATTATTATTAATCGCTGAAAGTCTGTAGCCAAGTTGAGATTACAAAAAAAAAGTATGAATGGACTAACAATTAATAATATCAATTGTTCTGGAAACGATACTTTTCTGTGTATAGCACGCTTTGCACACTGAACTTTTCTTGTCCAATCTTCCGCGGCTGCTTAAAAGTGAAAACGCATTACCCCTAATCAAAGGCTTATTAGTTCTAAGGTGTGTTTTCAATATCAACACCATCTCTTCGCTTCGTACAGGCCGCCATTTTCAAGGACAGGTACTTTCATTTTCAATTTTTGGATAGGTCGTTCGTGTATCGTTTCGTACCGATATTTGAATGCTTGTATCGTAAACCGTATCTTAGAGGAAAATATCGATATGTATCGGTGTATCGGTATATCGTCCCACCCCTACAAGGAGCAGATTTCAAACCATTCATTCATTTTCAGTATATAAGTACAGCCTCCCCTCTATGGTACCCCTGACCCTGGCAGACCTGCCAACCAAAATTGATGCTGTGGGGGGTCATGACCCAACATTCAGAAATGAAATGTTGGGTCATAGCGCGTGACGACATTTTTCGAGGGTTGAGTAACAATATAGTCCCCAAATTTTTAGACATCGATGTAAACACACACATGTATTCATTACATTTTATTTCAGGCTTAAATTATAATCTTTACATGCCAGTTTTGCTGCTTTAAGCACACTTTCAGATGGAAAGTATTCATAACAGTCATGGTCTTTGTTCTGTTTTGTACATAGCAATGAGCAAACTGTGTCATTTTTGAGTTCAGATCTGCATTCTGTGACAATTTTTCTCATTATGGAGAACATTCTCTCAGAATCTGCATTAGAGATGGGGATTACAATACACATTAAAGCAAGTTTGCTCAAACAAGGAAATCTTTTCTGTTTTGTGAATATGTCCTGCATTTTAGCTATTTCAACAAAGCTAACAATACTCTTTGAAGATTTTGATGCCTCTTCTGCTTTCACATGAATTGACCTAGTTGCATGGCATTTCACATCGTACAATGCACCAGAAGCAATTGAAAAATTAATATGACAGAGCTTGCAATAAGCCCAATCTTCTCCTAGATTGCACTTTTGAATCCATTGGAATTCTTTTTCCCATGTACTTTGGTATTTACAACTGTATTTTTTACGTTTAGTAGGAGTCAGTGTACATGGCCCAGACATCGATCGTTTCCTTACCGAAGACATTTTCAAACTGATTGTGAACTCTTTATCAAAATAATTACCTGTTTTCTGATGATCACAGCTCATGGGTCATTTTCAAAAAAAGTCCACTTTTTTGTCTTTTGATCAGAAAAATAGGAAAAAAATTTTTAGAGTGAAAGTTTTTTCCCCGTTGGTTAATATACGTGGTCATACAGCTTATAAGTTATTTTATGATCATCTCCCAGGTGTTTTATAAAAAATATTCTATGCATTCCCAGTAAAATTTAACAGTAAAACCATGTCACATTAACAACAAGAGGCCCAGGGGCCACAGCGCTCACCTGAGCACATCAGCTAGGAAAAAACACATCAGATCAGAACTGAAAGTTAATTTAAGTTGGGGGGGGGGCTTGAATTTTAACCCCCAAGGGGATCATAATTTGAACGAACTAGAATATACATTACCTGAGGATGATTCCATACAAATATTACTAATCCTGGCTTTGAAGTACTTGAAAAGAAGATTTTTAAAGATTTTTCCTATATATTCCTATGTAAAACTTTGATTGGCCATTTTGGCCCCGCCCTACCCCCGGGGGTCATGACTTGAACAAACTTGAATCTACTCTACCTGAGGATAATTTCACATGAGTTTCATCTTTCCTGTTTCAATGGTTCTTGAGAAGAAGATTTTTTAAGATTTTTCCTATATATTCCTATGTAAAACTTTGATCGGCCATTTTGGCCCCGCCCTACCCCCGGGGTCATGACTTGAACAAACCTGAATCTACACTACCTGAGGATGATTCCACATGAGTTTCATCTTTCCTGGCCCAGTGGTTCTTGAGAAGAAGTTTTTTAATGATTTTTCCTATATATTCCTATGTAAAACTTTGATTGGCCATTTTTGCCCCGCCCTACCCCCGGGGGTCATGACTTGAACAAACTTGAATCTACACTACCTGAGGATGATTCCACATGAGTTTCATCTTTCCTGTTTCAATGGTTCTTGAGAAGAAGATTTTTTAAGATTTTTCCTATATATTTTCTGTAAAACTTTGATCGGCCATTTTGGCCCCGCCCTACCCCCGGGGGTCATGACTTGAACAAACTTGAATCTACACTACCTGAGGATGATTCCACATGAGTTTCATCTTTCCTGGCCCAGTGGTTCTTGAGAAGAAGATTTTTAATGATTTTTCCTATATATTCCTATGTAAAACTTTGATCGGCCATTTTGGCCCCGCCCTACCCCCGGGGGTCATGACTTGAACAAACTTGAATCTACACTACCTCAGGATGATACCACATAAGTTTCATTTTTCCTGGCCCAGTGGTTCTTGAGAAGAAGATTTATAAAGATTTTTCCTATATATTCCTATGTAAAACTTTGATCGGCCATTTTTGCCCCGCCCTACCCCCGGGGGTCATGACTTGAACAAACTTGAATCTACACTACCTGAAGATGATTCCACATGAGTTTCATCTTTCCTGGTCCAGTGGTTCTGGAGAAGAAGATTTTTAAAGATTTTTCCTATATATTACTATGTAAAACTTTGATCGGCCATTTTGGCCCCGCCCTACCCCCGGGGGTCATGACTTGAACAAACTTGAATCTACACTACCTGAGGATGATTCCACATGAGTTTCATCTTTCCTGGCCCAGTGGTTCTTGAGGAGAAGATTTTTTAAAAATGCCAATAATTTTTCTCTAAATCATGATTATCTCCCCTTGGAAAAGGGCGTGGCCCTTCATTTGAACAAACTTGAATCCCCTTCACCCAAGGATACTTTGTGCCAAGTTTAATTGAAATTGGCCCAGTGGTTCTTGAGAAGAAGATGAAAATGTGAAAAGTTTACGACAACGACAACGCCGACAACGACGACGACGACGACAACGCCGACAACGACAACGACAGACAACGGACAAATTGTGATCAGAAAAGCTCACTTGAGCCTTTGGCTCAGGTGAGCTAAAAATTTTATAACATGCTTATTTAAATGATAGGGAAAATATTACCCTGTGAAGATATGTACAAATTTTGCACCTCATATTAATTCCATTCATTTACAGATTAATTTAATATGATTGTTTTAATTATGCCGCCCACTAGGTACTAGTATTGTGCATTTAACATTCAAGAAGTGACATGTCCCTCCAGTTTATGTCGTTCCTGTAACCAAAAGAAAATGTTAAAATAAAAGTTATCTCACTTTCCTAGGAACTGTTTTCATGATCCACAATATATCATCATTTTCTGTTGTCTCAAGTTTATGAGCGCCATGATTTGAAAGTGAGTAAAGAAAGGGTTCAAAGGTCGATAAGTTTGTCTTATTGGTAGAGTATAATGAAAATATGTCCTATCTGTTACCTTCTTATTATGCAAGTACTCTTTAAATTGTTTATTCTGCAAAAACAATTAGATTAACTAAGGTACAAAGAAATTGTTTCAATGTCTCGATGATGCAAAAAGAGTACGTTATACTAAATAACGGGTGATTTATATGAGAAACGTCCATCCTGTTACTGTCTTTCCTGTTACCATTAATATGGTAACAGTAAGGAAAACTGGACTTCATATCATGAGTTTTAACAAATAAAAACAATTACTTTTATTTTTCTAAGTAATATAAGTTTAATAACACATGTTAAAAAACTTCGTAAATCATATTGAAATAAGCTAGTGCTTCAAATAGTGCCATTATAACTTAAACATGCACTCTTGTAACAGAATGGACAGAAATTGTAACAGGAGGGACAAATTATCCTGGTATTTATATACCTATTTAAGTTTCATCATTTGTTTTTCTTAAAATTATGAAAAATTCTTAGTTTTGCAACAGCATAGAGTACCTTTAATAAAAAAAATTGAACTGATAAATATTTTAATAGCACTTTACAATTAAATTTCGTAACAGGATGGACATAAATGTCTTTTATTGTCTCAAATTTGCCAGATTTGACAAAATCATGTTTTTATGCTACATTTATTTCTCTTTTCCTAACCAATAAAGTTTACAAAAAAGTCAATATTTATTTAAAATGTAGATTTCATTGTCCATCCTGTTACACTGTTTTGTCCATCCTGTTACTGTTTTGTCCTTCCTGTTACCCGAGTCCTTACTGTTACCAGTATATTTTCCTAGTTTAAATTGCTTTGGCAGAGCACCTGTTTAAATAACTTTCTGTAACTGTTTATTCTAATCACAAAAATAATGTACAAGAATGTTTTTTTTCAACTATAGCATATAAACATTCCGCAATAAGGCTTTTCATGAAGAAAAACACGTAGATTTTGCTTCTGTTTGGTATATGGTAGTTTGACATGCTTTTAAACGCTCATATATTAGATGAATGTCAAATATCTTGGCATTCAATGATAATTTTTTCATTTATTAACGATATACAAAAGATAATTTGATGAAAATTTTGAAATAGAGATTTACAGCTCTTTTTATGAAAGTAACAGGAAGGACATTAAAGTTTAAATGACTAAGATAAAATATCAATATTTTTTAAAAGAAATATTTTCTTTTATGCAATGCTGTGGATTTTAGTAGTTTATTACTATATTATTCAAATAAAGTTGAAAAAATCATAGTAAAACCACTTTCATTTTTCAAAAATATGTCATTCAAAAAATGGACTTTTTTTGAAAATGACCCTCGAATACATCGTTAAAAAAACATAGCCGCTGGCATTATTCATGGTCTTGTTTACACTTCCGTTTCCATTATCAAAGGCGCCGTCTGGTGTCGAAAATTTAAAATAAATTAGAGTTATCTCTCTTCGGATTATTTACCGAAAATTGGGTTAAAAAATGGGGACAATCGATTTTGCGGGTGAAAATGATGACCCGCCGCGGGTCATTACGAGTGGGGGGTGAGAGGTCAGTTTTGCGGGTGTGACCCACCGAATGCGGGTCACTTGGCAGGTCTGCCCTGGGGCCTTGAAATTCAAAATTCTGGAAGATTAGGGCCCTTGTCCATCATAACTATATAGGTAGTTCATCTGCTTAATACCCTCAAGCAGAGAAGAAAATTTTTAAAGAATTCATGTATTTTCACAATGTAATCAATAGAGCCCCGCCCTAACACCAGAAACCCTGACCCTGGGGCCATAAAATTCATTATTTTGGTAGAGGCACTCTTGCTCATCATAACTATGCACTTAGTTAGTTTATTTAATACCCAGGAGCAGAGAAGAAGATTTTCAAAGAATTCATGTATTTTCACTATATAATCAATAGAGCCCCACCCTAACACCAGAACCCCTGACCCTGGGGCCATACAATTCATAATTTTGGTAGAAGCACTCTTGCTCATCATAACTATGTACTTAGTTAGTTTAATTAATACCCAGGAGCAGAGAAGAAGATTTTCAAAGTATTCATGTATTTTCACTATATAATCTATAGAGCCCCGCCCTAACACCAGAACCCCTGACCCTGGGGCCATAAAATTCACAAGTTTGGTAGAGACACTCTTGCTCATCATAACTATGTACTTAGTTGGTTTATTTAATACCCAGGAGCAGAGAAGAAGATTTTCAAAGAAATAATGCATTTTCACTACCTACTTATTTAGCCCCGCCCTAGCACTAGAACCCCTGACCCCAGGGCCATGAATTTCACAATTTTGGTAGAGGACTCAATGCTGATTACAATCATGCAAACAGTTTGACTGCTTGATGTCTAGGAGTAAAGAAGAAGATTTTTAAAGATAGCATTAGTTTTAGTGGTTTTGGCCCCACCCCTCAGGCCCCAGGGGGGAAGGGAATATGAAATTCACAATTTTTGTTTCCCTTCACCCATAGATGCTTTGTGTCAAATTTGGTTGAAATTGGTTCAGTGGTTGCAGAGAAGAAGCTGAAAATGTTCAAATGTTAACGCACAACGCACGAAGACAGACGAAAACGGATAGCAATAGGTCACCTGAGTTTACTCAGGTGACCTAAAAATAAATTATGAAATTTTTCTTCCCGTGACCTTGAAGTTCCCCAAATGACCTTGGGTCAAGGTCATGACACACCCTTGGGTCATGGGCAATTTTTATGTGAAATGAGACCTACCAAGTTTACCCATAAGAAAGATATGGACAGGACACGAATTATGACATTTTTCTTCCAGTGACCTTGAAGTTCCCCAAAAATGACCTTGGGTCAAGGTTATGACAAACCCTTGGGTCATGGGCAATCTTTGTGTGAAATGAGAACCTACCAAATTTACCCATAAGAAAGATATGGACCGGACACGAATATTGACATTTTTCTTCCAGTGACCTTGAAGTTCCCTAAATGACCTTGGGTCAAGGTCATGACACACCCTTGGGTCATGGGCAATCTTTGTGTGAAATGAGAACCTACCAAGTTTATCCATAAGAAAGATATGGACCGGACACGAATTATGAATTTTTTCTTCCAGTGACCTTGAAGTTCCCGAAATGACCTTGGGTCAAGGTCATGACACACCCTTAGGTCATGAGCAATCTTAGTGTGGAGTAGTAGATTCTAATGTCCCTCCATAAGAAAGATATGGACCGGACACGATTGCACAGACATACAGACAGACGGACCGACAGACAGCTAGACAGACAGACCGACAGACGAACAAGGTGATTCCTATATACTCCCCCCCCAAACTTCGTTTGCGGGGAGTATAATAATTTAAAATACTGAATTAGTCTCGGTTTCCATTTCATTTTTGGGGGGCATAATGCAGGGAACTTTAAAGTTGATATAATAAACTTTTAAGAATAAAGAAATCACACACCTCTATATTAATGAGCCTGCCAGCAGGCCCTGGGGGGTCTATCACACTGTAATACTGCCTCATCATCACATGACTCTCAAGAACCACCTTGGCTCCACCCCTTGTGATGGCCTCAAACATCACCAGAAGTCCCTGGTTCCTATCACTTCTCTGGAATATGTGGACCTGAAGTAGTTTCTCTGGCACCACCTGACACTGGGTGGCTGTGTCCGCCACCAGACGAGCGGCAGTCAATCTCATAAAGGACAGGTAAAAACTCAGGTACGTGTCATCTACCCTCGCACCAGAGTCTAGATAATGGTATTCATTCTGCCAGTAGTCGGTCAGGGCTGTTACATCTGGAAAGAACATCATAAACATGTACCGGTATGTGGTATAAGAAAAATGTATTTGATGTCATGTCTCAATATCTAATAGTTGTATTCTACATACCTCTCATCTCACTTCCAAACAAGTTAACATCCATACTGTTGATAATATCTTGGTTTACTACTAGGCTCAAATTTTCTGCCAAAAAATACTGGCTTTGATTCAATACTCTGAAAAATCATATATAACTTAAGATTTAGACCTTATTACAACTTTTCACATTACATTACAGGTAAAAAGGAAACTGAGTGGTAACTGACCAGAATCCTATCCAGGTCTTTGGAGAGGAAATCGTTGGGAGAACACCCGCACCAGTCGACGACGTTCTTGTGCTGACACTTACAGCCTCGCTTCCTGTCCCAGTTTGTGACGTGAAGGTTGTTCTCCATCCACTTATCACAGTAGTGGCTGTTATGGAGCAGTGTGTGGAAAAAAGACTACAACAGGATATGGAGGAATCCAGCAGGTTATTTAAAGATACAGCACATTAATATAATAACAAACTGATTCAGTGTTTTGCAATGGAACAATTATATATTTTCCCATTATCAAGCCACAAAAAATTAATGTGCAACAATCTCCCTCCCTTTACAATATTATACAACACTGGTATAATAACTCTATATACCTCTACAGGCAGTAATGTGTACTTGTACAGCTTCTTCAGTCCAGTAAGGAGTTTATCTTCCGAGGTTGTGACAAACTCACAGAACTGACGAGGCAGCCCCACCCAGTCACTCCCCCCGTCCATCTGAATCCCCGTGGGGAGGGTCCGTGGTCCCAGACGCCACAGGTGGTGGTCACACTGCAGGAAAGTCTGATCCAAGCCCTGTTTCCTCAAAAACCTAAAAGCTCACAATAAGGAGCACATCTACATAAAACTATTTTAGCAGATATACCAGTAAAGGTGTATACCGTAAATCTGGAAATTATTAACGTCAATTTTATTTTGCGAATCTAGGTCAAAATGCTGTTGACTAATTTTTACGTTTAAAAATTTTGCGAATGACCACTATTTTGTTTGTAAACATTTTCTTATTGTTGAATTATTTTTAAGAAAAATATTTTTGGGAATGCAATGAACTCGCAAATTTGCTAAAACTTTATCTACAGCAAAAATTTCCAGATTTACCGTAGTGATTTGCATGTATATGTTATTACTTATTTAGTGTTTAGCTATTGTATATTGAGAAAGTTAACATTCTGTGGAGGACATGAATTAGTCTCTTCATACATAATACCAGAAAAAAAATTCAGCCCCCTTCCATGAAATTAAGTGATTTCTCAGTATTTTTAGAATTATGTTACCTTACTGTCCTGACTTATGAACAAGTATTACTTACAGTGCAGTGTTTCTGCCATGAGACTTAATGAACACATAGCCTTTGTACTTAGTCAGGTAGGAAATCAGGGCATCCAATCTTCTGTAATAGTTGTAATCTTTATATATCAAAAGAATATAATGTAAAAGGAAATTGAATATCAATAGTAATTTAATAAATAGACTTACTTAATTGGGTAGTCACTTTCACTCAGGTTAACATAGTAATCCCACTTTTTATAAGAATTGAGTGCCTCCTTCATGATGTGTAAATGGGCATCTAGAAGATTGGCACCGCCCCAGATTGTGGCAAAACGCTTACGGACAAGATGGACATTGGGTAACACATCCTCCAAAGGAAGTAACTCTCTATATAGGTATTCCTGTCTCTGATAGAGGAAAAAAACGTAGATACAGATATTGTTTTAGGAGCAACAGTGCATACTGTGTTTGCATGTAATTTACATATTAAAATCCATTATACGTGTATTAAAATTAAAACATTAGCTGAAGACCTGAAAATGGAACCAAACTTGACAGGGTTCATTAATTTAAATCTTAACTAATCAGAAGTCCTATGCTAGTTTATAGTTTCAATGATCCTTGCAGCGGCCATCATTAAAAAAATTCTGTTTGGTGTACTCTGATCCAAATGAGTTAAAAAGCATGGATTCCATGGAACTTAAAGTCAAAAAAGCAAATCTGATGATTTGCATTTTCCCAGAAATCAATTATGATAAAATAATGAAAATACTGAAAAACCAAGATCAGCCCAGGGCAATGTGTTGGGTAAGTCAAGATTACATCAACATGATCAAACAAACATTATCTATTGTTGGCCTGATTCTTACCATATCAACATGTAGAAGATAAAAATGGTCTCGATGGTAGATGGCCTTCAGTAACCTTCTAACTTGTCTGACCTGTCGACCACTCAAGGTCAATACAAACATGACCCTGACCTTTGGTTGGATATCCTCCTCAAAATGTAGATCTCCTGGTCCATTACTCAGCCTCTCTGTAACAAACAGTTTACAAAAGTACTAACTACTATACCATTGTATACTAGAGTTAGACTACCAAAGAGTGATTACATGTATTTAGATGTTTGATGGCTCATGATAAAACTCAAATAACATATGATCAAAATCATATTTTACCTGATGAATATTGTAAAAAACAATGCATTCATTGAGTACAGATATCTGTATTTACTTTGTATACCTGTACTGTACACACTACTGGTGAGATATCCTCCACACATTCAGTACAGATATCTGTATTTACCTTGTATACCTGTACTGTACACACTACTGGTGAGATATCCTCCACACATTAAGTAGATATCTGTATTTACCTTGTATACCTGTACTGTACACACTACTGGTGAGATATCCTCCACACATTCAGTACAGATATCTGTATTTACCTTGTATACCTGTACTGTACACACTACTGGTGAGATATCCTCCACACACTGAGTAGATATCTGTATTTACCTTGTATACCTGTGCTGTACACACTACTGATGAGATATCCTCCATACATTGAGTAGATATCTGTATTTACCTTGTATACCTGTTCTGTACACACTACTGGTGAGATATCCTCCACACATTGAGTAGATATCTGTATTTACCTTGTATACCTGTACTGTACACACTACTGGTGAGATATCCTCCACACATTTCACTTGTTTTAGCAGGACATGCCTGGTTACATGAAGCTCCTTCAGTCCCATGTTTACCAAATGAATTCCCACACCAACATTCCCTTCCATATTGCAGGCCTGCATACCGAAAGCCTAACCAAATCAAAAATGATAATCACGTTAAACACAAATTCTTAAACTTTGGTGTATAATTTTTTTCTAAAATTGAAATTCTCCAGTCTTATAAACTACATTTATTTGCAAACTTTTAATAGCCTGTATAAAGACAGTAATCTGTTATATAATATAGTCACGTGCAAAAATTACCCTGATTGTAATCAGTTATCTTCTCTCAGTTGCTGTGTGCTTCATGTAAAATTTATTAATGCATTTGCAATGGATGTGCCTGTTTACTGTCTTCTATGCACAGCTATATATGTTCTAGATATACTAACTGAATGTCAGTCACCTATACACAGTTAGTTGTTAGTTTACCTGTCTGTATACAATAGTCTATACACAGCTGAGACCAGTTCTCGGTTGGGAAAGTCTTCTGATGAGAAAAGTCTCGATCGTCTGGATTGTCCACATAGCAGCCATAGTAATGCCCCTTAGAATGGTTACCTGCAAATAAAGATTAGACTTCTCACATCAATCTTATTCACCACAATGCATGTGTGTCATTTCACTCTTTATAAAGTCAGAAGTTGGACAAAATTCATTGAGGTAGTCTGTGAATAACATAATTTTTCATCCAACATTTTTCCCCTCATTTTTTTGAAGATGGGTTCATGAATAGATTTCATTTGAAAGATATATGAAAGAAGCAGTCAGAAAACTATCAATATTTAACGAAAAAATTATCAATTCAGTTAACACAAATATTAATTTAGATGTAAATAATTTCCTTCTTGTTATATATGAAGGATATGGAGATAACGAACAGTATTCAATATCAAAGTCCATAATACAATATAAAATAGGAGCAGATCAAACACGGACCTCTGAAACATCAGAGGTGGGATCAGGTGCCATGCAGGAGTGAGCATCGGGCCATACCCTGCTGACCGGTCACACCCGCCATGTGCTCATTGTCATGATCGTGAAATAACAGAAAAATTCGTCGTCAATACAGTGTATAAATAATGGAATAGCAATTGGTATGAAAAACGTCAGTCAGCATTTGACTCAATGATAAATTGTATTTGCTGACAAGGTAATTGTATCGACCATAGAACTTACGAAATGATGACTTTAAATGAGACTGCTGATATTCTTGTTTCATCAACTTGCTTGTCAATAATTTTCTCAATCACACTATCAATACTCACTTTTGAGCATGTCTTACCTTTCAGGTGGCAGGTGTTGGGCAGAGATCCTGGGTACAGGCCCCCCTCCTGTATCCCACAGGCCGTGTCAGCTATTTCCTGCTTACACTCCTTGGTTTTGGCTCTCTTAATGGCTGACAGAGCTTGTGCACTTTCTATCGTACATGGAGGGATGAAATCCTGGAGAAACCCCATCTTGTGTCGAGGATCTTCTCCAGATAAGTTATGGGATTCCTCACTTGTGAGGACCTCAGTAGGGTGACTATCATCTCTATCATGGTCCACAATTACAGCTTCCTCTTTCTCTTCCCCTAAAGGCTCCTCAACGATGTCTCTGTCTTCAGGTTTCTCCAGGGTATCATCTTTTGGCTGTTTTAAAATGAAAAGGTGGCTTTGAAAATATTTACAAAATGGGGGGGGGGGGGGATTGGTTAATGACAGCTAGAGCACACATTGCCAACTGTTAAACTTATTAACTTGACAATACAAAATTAGGCTAGTAGTACTAGTAGTCCTGCCAGGGACATCCATTCTAACTTTGAGAATTCAAGAACTCTTTAATTTAATTTTTTTATGAAGAATATACATTATCAATTATATTTGTTTCCTGTTTGAATATTTAAATGATCATAATGAATGGAGTGTCTTTAGGATACATCTAATTTATCTATAATATTTGATTGTTCAACGAGACACTAACCGAAGAAGAACATTAATTTAGGCCATACCTTGTCTCCTGAAGGAATTTCCGTATCTTTGATGTTGAAATTATATAAAATAAACTGAATACACAGTATTACAAACGCTATGTAAAATATATATCTGTATTTACAACACAATCTTCTCGAAGAGGCAATCCGTGAGGCAGCCATCGAACATTTCTACCTCCAAAAGCTGAAGAGGAGTGGGGTAAATCAAGATACCGGAGTGTCAAAACATGTAAATCAAAGTCATGCAAAAACCACAAATATGTCAATAAATTATTTTGAGTTACTTTCTTAGTTATATTTTCTTTGATATTTATTACCCCAAAATAATGAGTGATGTGCTGCAGGTTAATTTACTGCGAAAAAAAACAGTTCGACCAGTGCCTGGAATTTCTGGAAAGGAGGGGTGGGGTGGGGGGTTAAATCCTAATCTGGTAGTCACTTTGTCTTCTTTCATGTGCTTTAAATCGTTGTATTTTAGATAGAGACTACAGGGCCTAGAATCACTCTTCTGATAACAGTGTCACTGTGACATACTTCTGAAGAAGAAGGGTGAACACCCAGAATGATTTGCCTGTAGTGGGACAAACATGATGAAAACTTCAATCTTTGATATTTCATCTAACATTAAAGTTTACTTTATGTAAAATTTGTAAAAATCTCAAGAAGATTGAAATTATTTGTAAATGAAATATGTAGTCCAAACACTAAAACTAAAGAGGGCATAAAACATCATTTTCTCATATCATTACACCTTTTTTTTTAATGATTGGGACTTTGCTTCTGAACATTTTTTTTTAAAAACTTTATCCTCAGGGTTTTCATAAAAAAAAAAATCAAAACACATTTTTTGATTTGAAAAAAATATAGAACAAAGGCCCACTATACCTAAAAAATACAACTTTATGGCACAACATACCTATCTCTCTGAGAAAAACTTGACACTAGTGATTTAGTCAAGGGTCATATCACAAACAGTTAAGAAAAAAACTGTCTTCTTCTCTTTGTCCAGTATAACAAGAGTAAAATGGTTGAATGAAGGAATCTAGGCTTGTTGACCTCTTTTATGGTGACCAACGAGAAATACAGTACTGTAACCCAACTTTTATTCACAAGCAGGAAATATCCACAAGTTTTGCAACTTTTCTTTTAATTGCAAATATTTCTTGTCATAAACCAAATATTCAATTATATAAAATATTGCTTCTGTCATGAAAATTAGTTGTCCAACACAGATGGAATTTAAATTGAAGAACAAAAGATGTTGTGAATAATAGTTGGTTTACAGTAACTCTTGTTAAAATTGCATCCAGCAAACACCATCTTTCAGGGTCTAAAACACCATGGAAAATCAATTGCAAAATTTAGGAAGTAGGTCATTGTGACCTACTTTTTGTTTTGCATACTAAAAGGCCAATGAATTAAAATAAAGTGTACCATCATCAATCCAAATTCATAATTACATTTAAACCTTACCTAAAAAGAAAAAAGGTCCTATAACATAATTTATTGCCTGTATGAACAATTCGACCTTTACAAAACATTTATATTCTACAAACTGATCTCAGAATTATTAAATTTTTTTTTTACCTTTTAATATTGTCTTCGTATACTAAATTGTTTCTAGAGTAATCAGAAGAAATTGAAAAATTTCACTTACTTATTTAAAATTCACCATCTGAAGTATCTTAAAACAAGTTTATGAAAATGGTCTGCAACAATTCCAACTATTTGAAATATACCTATTAAAAGTGAGGTAGCACAAGCCGAAAAGTAGATGCATGGCTTTATTTACTGTAACTTTTTGTAACATAGATTCTGACTGATAACTATTTTAATTTCAGTGATCAGTAAAACAAATGTAAGAGAAAAAAATTGTTCCCATTAAAGAAAAAAACCCAACAAGAATAAATGTTTTGCATTTTTTTAATTAATTTTCAGTTTTATAAAATGTTAGCTTAAAGGAAAACATCATGACCCATTTCTATCACTGTATAATAGATATACACTGTATGAGCACATTCATAAATCACATACATACCTAGAGTGGAGACAACATTTATATTGAACACAGTGTGGTGTGTGAGGCGTATTAACAGTAAACCTACAGCACTACTGAAACAATTATTTATATGAAAAATGACTTTGAATTTGATACAATTTCCCTTTTTGTGAATGATTATTATGGTACAGGTAATAATGTTTACAATATTTTTTTCAAAAGTATAATCACATATTGTTTCACTCTCCACACATCAAAGTAAACTAACGTTAGTTAATCATGTACCAGGCAGACATCTTTGTGTTGTTCAGCAAAAATATTATAATATCTCTACCTATGAATCTGTCTGTCACAGATCATAAAGTTAGAAATGATCTTGAATTTGACATGAAATGATTTGACATGTGTTTAAACTTTAAATAAAAAAATTGTTTGGTCCATTTGAAAAAAACCTTTGGTCCCTTCTTGATGTACATAAACCCTGGTGATGAATGACACAAAAAGCCTATTCACACAATTTCTCTCAATAAAACCTATTACACTACATGTATATACAAATGATAAGTTAGAAAACAGAAAGAAGACAAAGAAAGAAACTATACCAGGCATTCACTGTACATAATATGTAATAATACACTGTACATATGTAATACAGGGAGATAACTCTACATTTACCACTCAATACTGCATTTGATCTTTGGGCCACTGTAAATTTTGATATTGAATATTTTGTTTGGGTTTTGGAGAAAAATAAAATTGGGTGAGCAGCTAAAAATACAATTTCATGCATTTAACAAAAAAAAAAAAAAAAAAAGGAATTCCACATTTTCAGAAGATAATTTTGTATGGCCTTGTTTTTCTACATACATATTTTCCTGAAACCAATGTTCATGTATGCATTTACACAATGCTTACATTTATAATTATTACATACAATCACAGCATGATCTATTCGACCTGAGTTTGCCATTAATTAAAAATCAGTTTACTCAAATAATTTTCATTCTACCAGTTACAGGGCAGATAAACTGTAAATTTTAAAGATGAAAGTACATATTCATTTCAAATAGCACTATATATTCTTGAAAACTTGCACATGAAATAAAAAATACGAAAGCCTTGAAAAAATATCTCTACAATAAACCTTGAAGCAAATATAAAATAACTGTCTTCATATTATTAAAGACACAAAGTTTAAATGGCACTGAAAGATTACATTAAACATGCTTAAAGCCAAAATGTCCAAACTTGTCTGCAACTAACAAATATACATAGACTTAAGTAGATTTTATCTTAGGTGGGATATAACAAACTACAGAAAGCACAGTGAGGACACACTGATACAGTAAGTTTGGTGTTCTTGTTCGGCTTGTGTGTTGTAGTAAGGTGTCAGGGCCAGGAAGATCAGCTTAAGATGGAGGAGTAACAGTGTGATGTCGTTGTGGTTTGTGTGATGTGTCTGGGGATGATCAGTTGGTGATGGTAGATGCTGGTAAGGCTGATTTATCCAGGTTGGCAAAGAAGACGTGATTCAGGGCTTTCTTAGCTGATATCCTGCTTGCTGGGTCATAAATCAACATTTGCTGAAAAAGTTTTATGAAAAGAATAGTTTATGCACTGTATAAAACAATTTTCAAAAATCAAATTGACAAAATTCAACATTGATATGGACTTAGAACTGTCTAAATGTACTTATACATAACCCAACATTCTTTTCTTAATTAGATAAAGACAAGGAATAACAATTTTAACATGTACCCCTGTCTATAAACATAATTTGACATACCTGTAGAATATCGAGGCCTGTATTATCTAGCCTCTGGACAGCGCTGGCTAACTGATTGGTTTTCCAGTTAGGGAAGGTAGGTTTGTAGTCAGGTAATGATGTCACTCCCGGCCAAACATCATCTGTTGGTGTGGTCAGCGTCCTAGGAAATTAAATATTTATTTAAAAGAAGAGTCTTTTGAGTTCTTTTTCACTGTAAATACTTTATAATTTCATTTCCTCTCAATTACTCTCAAATTATATTATTCTAGTAAAGTAATGTACAACTATTAAAATTATGTATAACCTAAATTTAACTTCAACCTCCACTGAATTCAGATCATACAATTAACATTACCTGAATATCCTGAAGAGCTGGTCAATTTCTGAATCCCCGTGAAATAAGGGTCGTTTTGTCATCATTTCAGCAAATATACACCCCACACTCCAGATATCTACGGGGGTGGAGTACCTCTGACTACCCAGCAGGATCTCAGGGGCGCGGTACCACAGGGTCACAACCTTAAAACCAACCAATCAAAAGTCATTACTGATCTCAAAATTTGTATATCAAGTTATATAAAAGGAAAGTTTCATCTTGAGCACAATATTATACATACATTTTTTCATGTGTTCTTGCTTTTTTCCAATAAGATTTCAAAAGTTTGCACCATCTCTAGTGCAGACCCATGACAACAATTTGATTCATGAATGAAACTGACACTGCCAAAAGTACCTCATGAGTGTAAACACGGACTGGAATTCCAAAGGCTCTGGCCAAGCCAAAGTCTGCTAATTTGATGACTCCTTTGTTATCAATCAACAAGTTCTGGGGTTTTAGATCACGATGGAGGACTCTCCTCTGATGACAGAAGAGGATTGACTGAAGGATCTGGTACAAGTAACTCTGTCAAATAACAAACGCAACATTTAAACCATCAAAAATGAACAATGTTTTAACTTATTGCAGAATTTCATTTTCATCTTCATGGTTCCTTTTGGTTCCTGGTGGAACATAGGGCCTGGCAACAGTTCTCCACCACACATTGCAGAATGTAGTTTCCAAATTCTGTATACAGAGAAATAACACAAGGTGAAAATAACCCTGTATATATATTATACTGAATTGTTCATCCATATTTTTCATCTGAATTTTATTTTAATTGAAAGATACCCATATTAATTTTTACCTTAACGAGCATTTTGTCCATAAACTGTCCATTAGGAATGGTGTCCATATAACGTTTCAGATCCATCGATAAAAACTCAAACACAAGGTAGAGCTTGTTTTCCTGCATCAGAACATCTTCTAGGCTGCATACAAAGAAAAGTTTGATTTTATATTTAACATTTATAAACTTTTTCATGTTTTTGTATATTAGGCATCATATTTTTGTTGCTATACATTACTTGCAGCATTTACCATATATGTGTTTAGAGATTAAATTTACAAGATTAGAATTAACTTCAGTGTTCTTGGAGTCCTTCAGTCCAGTTGGCAAGACTGATAAAATTAAAAAATAAACAAGGATCAATTAATTTAGGTGCTGTGTTAGTCAAAATGATGGTAGATGATGACAGAGTAATTTGCAAACATTTCTACTAAATTTTGTATGAAATCCCTATGACTAATGGATTGTAATTTGCTAAATGCTTTTATGTATATAATAATGGATTCTTCAATAAACACAAATGCTAACTATAAGGGTTGAAACGCAGTGCTTCACTGAAATATTGGGATACTGTTCAATATACATCATCATGATATATTTGCTTGATTCAATGTCCAATTCACTATCTTGATTTTCAGTCCCATACATTTTTTTACAATTAGGTTAAGTTACTCCTTGAAATAGATCAGGTTCGACCTTATTTTAATAGCTTGACACACACAGGGCAGAAAATGGAGAAGGAGAAAGTTTCAGAGCAGGCTGCCACTGCCAGTATTGACATTAACAAAGTGCCCTTTTTATCTCAGAAGCACAAGTAGCGCTATTTATTGTTACCACTTTTCACTTACCTTTTGAAATCTGAATACATGTTTTTTTTTTATCTTATTTTATTTTTTTTTTTTAAAATGTATTGAATCAAAAAAATGAATTGTGACACAAGGTTTGCAATACGTAGCAAATCATCATGATCATGAAGCCCTGATGAAGGGAACATATCGCTTCAGCCCTACAAACTATGATTGATGAATGTAAAAATGTGGGCAGTAAAGTTTATTGATAGCATTAAGCCAGGTAAGAATATCAAACTACATAACACCATAAGCCTAAAATTTATGAAAATTAGCCCCCACATGCAGAGTTCTTGAAATCTTTCGGTCCTGTCGGCAAGACCTATAAAAACAAACAAGGACCGATAACTTTATGTTCTGTGTCAGTCCAAATGACTAAGAAAGCAACTTGTGAAAATCCGACTACATTTCGTACAAATTCTCTATAACCGACCGATCATAATCTGTTAAACACTTATGAGTATCTAGTAATGGCTTCTTCAATGAACGCAAGTATCAAACTATGATTTATTAATTGTTAAAACAAGTTTGTTGACGGCGCTAAGGTAAGCAAGATGATAAAATAGAAATAGATTAAAAACTAGTGAAGAAAATCGACCCACCACGAGATTTCAAAATCGTTATACGATGATAAAGTCGGCATGAAGTGTGCAGTGTGTATTGATGCAGGGCACTTGGATGACTCGTACCTCACACATTGAATGGAGCATACCATACAATGTTAAGATGCTGTAACTCCTTTAGTACAGAGATCAGGATTAACTTACCATACAATGTTAGGATGCTGTAACTCCTTTAGTACAGAGATCAGGATTAACTTACCATACAATGTTAGGATGCTGTAACTCCTTTAGTAGAGAGATTAGGACTAACTTACCATACAATGTTAGGATGCTTGCTATAACTCCTTTAGTACAGAGATCAGGATTAACCTACCATACAATGTTAGGATGTTGCAAATCCTTTGGTAGAGAGATCAGGATTAACTTACCATACAATGTTAGGATGTTGTAACTCCTTTAGAAGGGAGATCAGGACTAACTTACCATACAATGTTAGGATGTTGTAGCTAATTCCTTTAGTAGGGAGATCAGGACTAACTTACCATACAATGTTAGGATGCTGTAACTCCTTTAGTAGAGAGATCAGGACTAACTTACCATACAATGTTAGGATGTTGTAAGTGCTTTAGTAGAGAGATCAGGACTAACTTACCATACAATGTTAGGATGTTGTAACTGCTTTAGTAGAGAGATCAGGACTAACTTACCATACAATGTTAGGATGTTGTAACTCCTTTAGTACAGAGATCAGGATTAACTTACCATACAATGTTAGGATGTTGTAAATCCTTTAGTACAGAGATCAGGATTAACTTACCATACAATGTTAGGATGTTGTAACTCCTTTAGTAGGGAGATCAGGATTAACTTACCATACAATGTTAGGATGCTGTAACTCCTTTAGTACAGAGATCAGGATTAACTTACCATACAATGTTAGGATGTTGTAACTCCTTTAGTAGGGAGATCAGGATTAACTTACCATACAATGTAAGGATGCTGTAACTCCTTTAGTGGAGAGATCAGGATTAACTTACCATACAATGTTAGGATGTTGTATCTCCTTTAGTACAGAAATCAGGATTAACTTACCATACAATGTTAGGATGCTGTATCTCCTTTAGTGGAGAGATCAGGATTAACTCACCATACAATGTTAGGATGCTGCAACTCCTTCAGTAGGGAGATCTCTCTGATAGCAGTAGATGGTACCCCCTCCTCTTCTGATTCCAATCTGATCTTTTTTAAGGCTACCAATCTACCTGTTTTTTTGTTTTTTCCTTTGTATACTACTCCATAAGTACCTATAAAACAAACCACATGGGCTTAGTATACAAATTAAGTGAATAAATAAACTAAATTGTAGATGTACTGATGTGGTATTATTTCCATTTCTAATTTTTTTTTCTCTGTGATAAACCTTTGAAAGTTAGTGGAGTTGATTTCTTGATAATTCTACCAGAATGTAAATTATGCAGGCCGATAGGTCAGGAGCTAAGAAGGCCTAATACCCATGCAAATCTTGTGCGTGTCTGACGTCAGTGGGCGAGGACTATTGAAATCGGCATGGGAGTCCTCATGTAATTTAAATCATTCTGTCTCTACACTTTTTAAGTCTAAATCTACAATTTTATTTGGCAATGAAATGGAAATATAAGGAATCACTGTCTAGTTAGTATAGTATGCCAATTTTATACATAACGGGCTTCACCTGCTATGCAGATTATCAATGTTTCCCAGTATCATTGATGCCCTCGCATACTATACTAACTAGACAGTGATTCCTTAATTCAGCAGCACATTTAACATTACAGCTTAGACATGATACTGGAATAGCAGATGCAATGTTCACATTCGATAAGCCTCTGAGTTCAATCAGGTCAACCATTTTGAATGAAGTCCGCACTGAATGACGTAAGTTTAAACGGTGAAAGATGATTGGATAATATTACTAGTTGTTTACAGAATCAAATATGGCTGACCCGATTGAACTCAGAAGCTAATCGAATGTGAAAATGGAGCTGATCTCTCAAGACGAACGCTCAACGGTCCCTCAAATATTGTGAGGATGACCAAAAGCAGTTATAATTTTTAATCTTTGTTCTAGGATAGAGTGCAACACATGACAAGCGCGGAAAAATTAAGTAATGCACGAAAATTGAATGGATAAACTAATGTAGGGTTAATGACGGTGACCTAATTCTCAGAAGTTTGAATATTTTTTCTAAGTTTTAATGAAGTAAGGTAAATAATCAATTCATGACAATAAAGGACAACATTCTGTCTTTCAAATGGCAAAGCTTTTTCATGGGTTTTTAAAAAAAAAATTGAAGTTTTTAGATAGAGTTTGAAGTTAGGCACCGAGGAATTAATGGTGGCTCGTTAGTTCCCGTCTCCCCAATTATACTATATATAATTGAAGTTTTTAGATAGAGTTTGAAGTTAGGCACCGAGGAATTAATGGTAGTTCCCCGTCTCCCCAATTATATATATATATATATATATATATATATATATATATATATATATATATATATATATATATATATATATATATATGATTTTTCTAAGATCGTCTCAAGTCCCTGTGCTTGGGCCGAGGTGTCTTTTATCAGGTCCAGGAAAATCACTATATTTAGCTATATAGCTAAATTACATATATAGCTTTATTTACCTATATAATATATAGAGGATATTCAATGTTTTGTAGTTGAATATGGAATTTATTTCACGATGAAAAGAATTTTTGATATTTTCACGAAAAAGCACGAGTGAAAATATCAAAAAATTCTGTCTGAGTGAAATAAATTCCATATTACTACAAAACATTGAATTTTCTGTTTATTACATTTAAAAAAAAAATCTTTGGTTTTTCCTTTGCCTCTGTCTTTTTGTAACACAGTCATAGGCTCGTGACGTCATAGTTGAGCAGTTGAGACGTCATAGCTATGTGAAGTGAAAACACTGTAAACATTGATTTAGCAACATATTTTTGGTAATTTTGACAGTTCTATTCGCTCTCAGAATGGTTTATTTATTTCCATCTATCTTATATTAGGTCAAGGAAGATTTTTTTACAGCAATCTTTGTTATGGGAAGGGAAATGAGAGTTTTCCCACATTTCTGATATTTCACACTGTGACAGGATATCATTTTGATATCCTTTCACACTGTGACAGGATATCATTTTTATTCAATGAATAAATTACAGTATTTCACGGGTAAAAATGTAATAAACCTTTATTTAGCTATTTTAGAATAAGTTTCTGTTTTATGAAAAGCAGACCAAAAGTCGCATGAAAATTATGGTTGATATTTTTTTAAAAAAGGTTTGATAAAAACAACCTAGGGCATAGATAGTAAAAACATTACCTCTTTTAAACACTTTTTAAAGCTATCGTGCAAAGTCTTAAACCAATTATACGCAACGGGCAAAGCGGTGTCCGCCATATTTCTCTACTCTGCGATAGTTACAATTCCAAATATATGTGATCAATCGCGGTCATGGGCTATTGCACACGCTTCCAGAAGGCCTAGAGTGTACACTAACCCCCCCCCCCCCCCGTAAGTCAAACTTGTACTGTCTGCCGCTAAGTTTTAGAAAATAAATACTATATGATGAGAGGAAATAATTGCAAAAAAATATTTTTAAAAAAATAAGTACGTAAATAGATATTTAGTAAAAAGTAAAATATTAGTCACACGAAAGTAAAAGATTTCCGCTAAAACATATGCAAAAGCTTTTTACATTGCTTACCAGACGCCGACAGTACAAGCTTGATCAGTTGAATGGAACATACGATAAGTCAAACAAAAATTATAAAAGTTTAGCAATATTCATCCAAAGATTTGCCTTTCGCATACTCCATTAGTGCACACACCCTGTCCCGGTAAACAAAACTGATCTGTCAAACCGGACCGTCCAGTTTCTATAAATAGGATCTACTCACACTTCGGTGTTTTCTAGGGACCTGTTATTATTGTATCCTGATTATTTAAATGTTATACAATCTACAAAAAATCTCTGTAAACTGGTGGTCTTTTTCGACACAACCCAAATAATTGTACACACTTTAGACGCAATTACACGTTAGGGTAACAAAAATGTTTTTTTTAATTAAAAAAATTATAAATAGATTTAATTCTGTAATTATATTTTTTCTGCGAATACCTTCCATTCTACATCGGTACTGAAGATAACATTTTAAGACCTACATCACTGGAAACAAAAATGCTTTGGTTTCTCAAATTCATGCATTAATAAATAAAACAAATATAAAAATGTTTAACCCCCCCTCTCTTTCTCTCTGTTTCACCCCTATTTATAAGAAGTTCGCCGGTCTAAAACAGTAATAGGGGATTACCAGGCAAAAGAACTACAGTGCTAAACATTTTTAAAAAAAAATAAGTGCATATCTATTGTGCACAAAACAGTGGTTTGCTTTTGTGTTTTTTTTCACCATACATATCAAAATATTAACTAACCTTGAGTTTCTTACATATTCCAATATTTACACCATTCACAAAAGAAATGCATGTGCAAGTCATGCATCAACCAAATATATGTGCCCCTCTACCCCCCCCCCCCCCACACACACACACCCGCACACACACACACTCTCAAGGAAACATTCACACACACGTTTAGAAAGATTTAAGGTTGTGGTAATAATAACTTTGTTTTACGTCCTTTTTTTCTTTGAAAAGATACTGTACCAGGGCTCGACATTAACACTTGTCCGCTTGTCCGGTACCAATGAAAAACAATTACGGACAAGTGAATATTGCTGGGCACTTGTCCGATTGGACAAGTGATTTTTCATGTAAAGAAGTCTTTGAATAATAATAAACAAAACAAATATTTATTTAATTGAAAAGTTAATCGAATACAAACGGAAGCATGAGTACATAAACCCGAATTTCGATCCCGATATCAATCCCTTTGTAAGTTGAAGTTCACACTTGATCGGGATCGATATTCACTAATTGCATCCATACCATTGCATGGCGTGGATCTTACAATGTTTGCCGGTTTGGAATATATCTGATTGAATTATAGATTCACTTGAAAAAAATTATGTTGTTGTCAGGTCAGGTAGTCTAGATAAAATTTTGTTTTATATGTGTTTGTCTTTTTTATCAATAACAAGACCAATAAATCAATTAATTTTTTTTCATTTTTGGAATAGTTTTAAAGTTGACAGAATAAGATATTCAATAAAATTTTTTTCGGGCAAGTGAACTTGAAGTTCGGACAAGTAAACATCTTGGTCACTTGTCCGAATAGACAAGTAGGGAAAAAAGTTAATGTCGAGCCCTGTGTACCTCCAATCCGCATAAAAAACAAACACATTTTAAAAACTACCGATGCCTTAAAATTGAATGGATTTGCAGCATTTCCGAAGAGTACAAAGAATTTTCTTTTTAGAATTTGAAAAACTTTTTTGGGGTGGGGTAGAGGTTGGGTTAAACAAGGAGTTACAAGTTAGTTCCTTTAAAAGATATTATGATCAAAAAACGGTACATATATAGCCAACGCAGCCACAGATCGCGGGAATCTATATCAAATTAAACCTCGCATGTGACATATCCAATATCATATATCAGATATAAAAAAATAAGTAGAATATTTTCTACCGTTCTCTCATAAAAAAGTAATCGTGAAGTTGAATGGAGGAAACTAAATCGTGAGAATCTATCTATTCAATACATACATGTAAAATTAGACTACAAATATTTATTCTCGGAAAACGCTGTACCCCTGTCTCTCTCTCTCTATCTCTCTCCACTTGGCAAAAAATAAATGGGGTTCCAACACCCGGAACCCCCCCCCCTTCTGGATCTACCAATGAGTATATATGTTACACATTTTTCGGTGGACTCAATATATCAGGCCCAGAAGGGCTATGAACAACAGTTTTGGGAATTTTTTTGTTGTGGGCGTAGTGATGTGCTAGAACACGGTTAGGAAATAGTTTAGGTGGTAGCATAATTTATATAACGGAGAAATACTAATAAATGGGAAAAGTGCGCTTTTGTGCACAATAAGCTTCCTGGACGGACATCCTTATTTTTTCCAGCTGCATTCCATCAAGCTACAGATCTATAACTAATATAAGATGTTGTTACAAAGCATATTTGGATAAAGCAAAGAGACAGACAACTTAAAAATTGAAAGCTAGAATAATTATTGCGAGAAAAAAAGAGGCACAGTTTATGTTCATCATGAAACAATTGTTCGGACAAGGTTTTTTTTTTTACATGTGCAAGAGAACCATTTGCGGAAAATACAAAGATCTGTTCTTCTAAATGCATGCATAAATCTCGCTAGGAAATTAAATGTTTTTTATGTAGGGGGGGTGGGGGGGGGGGGCAAACAGTGAATTGAAAAGTTTTGTGAAAATGTACACAATGACAAATATAATTTAATTCTAAATTTTACATCTATTTTCCTTTCTGACTGGCAAGTTTCAACGTGGATCAGTTCATTTGTACATAAAATTGTATATAAGTATTTCTTATTTCTATTTTAAAATATTATAATTTCATTTTCCTGGATTCATGATTATATAATTATTGTTTACTTTATTTTACGCTACATTTTTTGTTAAAACTGATGACTTATTATATATTTGATACACCCTCTATCAACCGCTTTGAATATTGATGCAGTTTATGCATTAGAAAAGTCCACGCCTCCACGGACAATTAAAATCGTTTACTGATACTTTTCTTTACCATGTAACAAATTAGCCCGAGTTGCCACGGTCAGAAAACCCCTTCTCATTTAAGATTTCGGAAAAAATCTTATTTTATATAAAAGTTCTTTAATAGGTAAATTTGACATACACAAGAACATGCACATTTTAAAATCATATTTATTACCGGTATAAGTCATGGGTCATAAGTCATAAGTACACAAGTCATGGGTTTCCGATCCGAAATCGACCTCACAAGTAGAGTAGCTTTCGGATTGGAAACCCTTGGCTAGCGAAGGTGACATATATGTAGACTCGACCCATGTTCAAACTTTTACGGAAAATAATTGTTTACCAACTGTATTGTTCTTTATATTAGCATTAAAAAAAAGTTCCCCCTTTTTCAGGAAAATATTGTTGGCGAGGAATTTATTGCAAACAAATAATTCAACTGCAGATAACTTGGGCAATACTAAATCTGAATTCTACATTATCCAAAAAATGTAATTCTTCATCATTGCCCAAAGTTAAAATTTCGTTTATAGTTCTGATTCCATATCCGATGTTTTATTATTATGTTCCCTTTTCTGTCAAGGAAAAGTTATTAATAATCCATTCCTGCGCAAGCCTTGGAAAGGAAAAGGGGGACAAGGGGGGTTAGCCCCCCCCCCCCCCCAAAAAATTTGCAAATACAGACATAATATTGGCATGGGAAATTATTGAAGTTTACCTTTTTATGTTTGTTTACACCCCCCCCCCCCATTTCAATTTACTTCCGACCCTTGTGTCCTGTATTCATGCATGAACATTGTGTAAGAGAGAGAGAGAGAGAGAGAGAGAAAAGAAAAAAAGATTTGGTTACAAAATATATTAACAATTTTTAAAGAATATATAATTCTAAATTTTGCATTCAAAATATTGAGAGTATTTTCATCTGGGTAATATTTTCCCAGATAATAACTGATCCCCGAACGGTCAACGAGGTATGAAGAGATTGTTACTATTTTTAGAAAACTGGACAGGCCGGTTTCACAGATAACTGTTGTTTTCATGTCGCAGGGCGTAAACGGGATGTGTTGATGTAGGGGCTGAAAGAAAACTTGGGAAAGAATTTCAATACTTTTACTTTTATATCTCTTGTTTTTACTTATCCTATGATCCATGATCAAGCTTGTACTGTCTGGCGTCTGGTAAGCATTGTAATACGTTGTTTTATAAATGTATTTTTCATAAGCAAAAATTCACGTGCTTGTAAAATTGCATCATTTATTTTTTTCATGAATTTATTATTATTAGTTTTAAAGCATTCAAAAATTTGTATTGTATAAGTTTCTGAAACTTAGCGGAAGACAGTACAAGTTTGACATATTTTGGGGGGTTTAGTGTACACTCTAGGCCTTCTGCAAGCGTGTGCGATAGCCCGTGACCGCGATTGATCACATATATTTGGAATTGTTACTATCGCAGAGTAGAGAAATATGGCAGACACCGCTTTGCTTGTTGCGTATAATAGGTTTAAGACTTTGCACGATAGCTTTAACCAAAAAATGCATCTCTATTGTTTGGATAGTTGTCCCTCACTGGAAGTCCGATGAGGCATGACTAAGTGTGATTGCCTTGAATTGTGCTGAATTATTACCAATCATCTTGTTGACCAAAACTGCTTTTTGTCCCCCACTTGAAAAGTGGGGATATTAATTTGGGTCTGTCCGTCCGTCTTTCTGTAACGCTTTCATTTCCACATGATATCTCGAGAATCCTTTGAGCTTTCGCAATGAAATTTTGTGTAGCAACTCCCTATACACTAAAGAAGAACCCTATTGATTTTGAGGTCAAAAGGTCAAAGGTCAAGGTCATAAATTTGCAAATTCTGTCTTTTATAACACTTTCGTTTCCGCGCTATATCCCGAGAACTCTTTGATCTTTTGCAATGAAATTTTACATAAAAAGACCCCTATTGATTTTGAGGTCAAAAGGTCAAAGTTCGAGGTCGTAAATTTATACATTCTGTCTGTATGAAACACTATTATTTCCAGGCGATATTTCAAGAAGATTTTGAGCTTTTGCAATGTAATTTTATACGAAAACTCCCTAGGACCTCTCTCACCCTTCTCAAAGTGTCCCGCCCCATTTGTTTTATTAGTATTTATTGTATTACGTCGCTATTTTTAACACAGGGGCATGAGGAGAGTTACTACGTATAAAACAGGTTCTCGGTGGACTTTATATTCTTATTACATCTAATAGAACTGTGTTTAATAAAGGTTAAATTAGATATCATGCATTGTGTAAAATTTTGACAATATCGAAACTTGAACAGTCAGGGGTGTGATTGAAATCCATCATTTTTAAAAATGATGATTTTCAGTCATTAAATTGATTTTTAATAATGATGGAAATTCATCTTTTTTTAGTAAAATGATGAAAAACAGTCATTTCTATTTTGAAATTTATTTTAGAAATAGAGTTATCTCTGATATCAAAAATGACTGTTTTTCATCATTTTTTATCAAATTGTTAGGTCTGGGCACACTTCATTATCTCATTAGTTTTACGGGGCGCACTAAATTATCTTGGTTTCAATTACTTGTCAAGATGTTTCTCTACACAAGGGTCTATGGCAGGATAGTGTACTATATCTAATTACTGTAGTAAATGGGATGGGAAAATTGACTTGAGAATGGAAATATGATGAAAAGACGTCATATTTACAAAAATCAGAAAATTGTGTACATTATATACTTGGAAGAAATGACCATCAGGGATTTATCTAGCCATTTTGTTTTACTACCGTTTTATATGTAAAGGGGAAATATGAGAGCCGCAGGCTCGATCTGAGCGCCGAAGGCGCGAGAGGGGGGTCCGGGGGCATGCCCCCCCGGAAAATTTTTAGATAAAAGGAGCAAAATCCAGCATTCTTAGAGCTTCTGAGGGTCATTTGTAGACCTTTACAAAGGCCACAAAAACTTCACTTTTTATGCAAAATACTAAATAACACACACAAAAAAATTTAACCAGGTCAAGACTTTATTTAATTTTTTCTCTAAATATCTATCACAAATCAGTTTTTATTATCATGTTTCACTACTAACATTGTTTTTGTTGTTACTCCATTCTTCCGATTCATAGTGATATAAGGTCCATCTTACTCATCTACACTTTTCTTTTTAACTCTGCAATCGCACTCGTATCTTTCGACATCATGGACTTGAGTGGACTTGGCACATGTTTACCGATCAATATCAAATAAAAGCTTGAATATTCTATTCTTTCTTTCAAAAGCGTTTGAATGACTAGGATGGTAAATTAGCTGTTAAACTTCAATCGGACAAAAACGGAAAATTTCAGAACGATACGATGTTTTAAATATTCTTCGTTTAATTGGAGAATTTTCTATCTGAAAAAGGGGAATTTTTGCACCTTTTTCAAGAGGGGAAAGGTACCGTTTACCGGTAGTAAAAACAGCCTTGATAAATCCCTGACCATTATCCATCATTTTTAAAAATGATGGATTTCAGTCACACCCCTGACTGTTGAATATATACATGTATGTGACTTCATCTTCGCATATAATTTTTGCTAGTTTAAAGCATAGACCTAAATCGATTTAGGTCTATGATTAAAACGGCTCTGTGGTGGTATTGGTTCTCATGTGAGAGGGCCCGGGTTCGCATCCCGGGAGACCTAATTATTTTTTCTCAAAATACTTTTCTTTTTATCAAATGATAGTATTCATGTGAAATGAAAAATTATGAGGTCTGGCTTGTACAAACTCATAAATTCATCATTACAGTGTGATAAATATTCCCTTAAAAAAGAATCTTCTATACACATAAAGAATAAGCAATCAAACCTTTATATCCATATTGGCATATTTATTTGCTTCATTATACATGTATACAATTAATAATTCTACAAATTCAGTCATTTTATGACCCCCCCCCCCCCCCCCCCAACTGCTCATGGTTTACTTTTTCCCTAAGTGGGGAACACAAATTCTCTGAATTAGCTTGTCTTTGTTAAAGTAGCTGCCTTAATCACAGATTAACTGTTATACATAGCCCCAAAACTTTTAGATCTTTAATTGCAATTGCACAAAAGGAGAAACATTTTTAAAAGTGGGTGTTTGGAGAAATGTTTTCAGTCCATTTCAAAGTTGAAAATTAATACTGCCTCATCATGATTATTGATTTCCCACTTACCCTCTCCAATTTTCTCTATTTTTATGTAGTCTTCCATTGTGATTGAATCTTTGCTATTGTCTTATTCTCTAAAAAAAATAAATAGATTTGCTTTCATTATGTGTATAACGTTTTATACATGTATATCAAACAATCCACAATGCACTGTTCGCATTCACTGACTCAGATCGTATCAGGACATGCTTTCAAACTTAAACTCAGTTTCGACTCAATAGGAAACATAATAAAAAGTTAAAAAAAATAAACTATATCACTGTTTTCAATAGAAAATTAAATTATCCTTCCCTTTACTACCACATACCATCGATTTTCTTCACAAATGCCGCTGTTTTTGAATGAACCAATAACAACCCGCCTTTTGTTTGAGTTCGAACTAGAGTTTCCGGTAAAATAAAAATTTCGCGAACTTTGATCCCGAAGTATTTTAACGAAGGTCTCCCGTTTTGTGAGGGGATGGGGTGGTACTTATTTGCGTTGCAATGTTGTTTAATTCATTTTTCTACTTACATTTCCAATTAAAATATTACAAATAAGATTAGATTTTAAACTCGACACACAAAGAGGGCGTGGTTAACCTGGTTAAGACTTTAAAAATTAAAGGGAAAAAAAGCTTAAGGTCAAATTTCAATTTCAGGGCAAAAGTTTAATAAAAAGTCATATTTTGAACAAGATTCATTAGGGAAATTGTGTGAACAAGTTTGTCAAGAGATTTATTGCAATTGGCAAGGAATATAAATATATAATAAAACATGCATTTTTCTAAAAAAAAAAAAAAAAAAAAAATCTATTATAATTGTGCAGTATATTCATTTAATTTATACCCCCATTTCACATTTATACTGGAGGGGGGGGGGATGAATGATTATACTTTATTTTAAACCTCACAAGAAGTTTGAAATATGAACTGTATACAATTCCTCCGCTCAAATACGAATTTCTTGGAAGAGGGTGGTTGGTGTGTTGAATGAATTTTTTGGGGGGTTGGGTGGGTGTATTTTGTAGCATGACACAGAATTCAAAACATAATTTTAATTTGTATTGGTAACACCCCCTCAATTTAAAACACTAATAGCGTCTATAGAAACTAGGTCTAAAATAGGTCCTCGAATCGTCAAAAAAACAAAAAAAAAAAAAAACAACAAAAAAAACAAAAACAAACTTAGGGTACCGAAGTTGACATTCCTTTAGATATTTTCTGGACAGCTTGCATGATTGTAAAATTGCTGCAATATATAAATATTTTAAACTTTATCAACAAAAACAACTTGTAAGTAAAGTGGTCAAAATTTATTTATAGATGTTGATGAGGAGAAAAAAAAATATAAACAAACCAATTGTTATCGTGAATTGCATGATTTCTTTACATGTCATTCATTAGTATAGTTATGATTTCCTTTAATAATTTTCCCCGACATGATCGACTTCTTAATTTGCTGCCAAACATTCTTCTATATATATTTAATTTGTGAACGTTGAACTTGATTTATTTTTCAATTTATACATACGCAAGATGGATCCATGCACACTGGCCTTGAAAATTTCCAAATAATTTCTATCAAATCAATCACCTCTATCGCCTCTCTATGGTGTATACTACTTAATTTCTCTTATAGAAATATAAAAAGATACTAGTATATACGCCCAAACCAATATTCCTCTCACTAAAAACCCTACTCTGGAAGTAGAAGTTAAAGCCACAGATCTTCAAATTTTAGTAATTTTCAGAGCATTTTTTTAAATAAAAAAATATTATTAATTTATTTCGCGAATGATAAGGACACCCCCATGTCTAAAACTAGCTATATTCAGGGACGTAGCATCGTTTTTCGTATTGAAAGGGGAAGTCGGAGAAAAAAAATCAACTTGCCTGTAAAAAAAACTATCTGACCATAATCTTAAATCCTATTTCATGGGGATGGGGGTTAAGCTGGTTAGTTCCATTTTCTTTCATCAGCAGTTTTACATGTATTTTAGTCATAAATACATTTCTCTTATTTGACTCTATTGCTGTATACACACAAGTACTGTATAAAAAATATGTCTGAAAAAGTGTGTGTGCGCGAACCCGATACTTCTTGCCTGTTTATTTAGAACTCTTAGTTTCATAATTTTAACTAATTAAAAACCTTCAAAATTTAGGATCCATTCCTCAAATCTGTTTACAAATATATTTGGATCCTAGCTTAGTCAAAAATTAAATGTTACATTATAACCCGATCGTGTAATCATTTAACCCTGTTAACTATGGACCATAGTATGGTTTAACAAACCACTATGTATAATCATTATGATTTACCTTTCTTGAGCAGTAAACAGAAAGAGGTTTACATTTTCGCGGATTTTTTTAGAAAAGGGAAAAGGTGTTCCGAAAACGTCGCCATTTTATTTGTTTATATTTTCACTTCGAAGGAACTTTTTTAATATCCGTTGATTTGACTGTTTTACGACAAAATTAATCCAAAAACAAAGGTAAGAGACGTTAGATACATGTTTTAAGAATATGGGGAATCAAAAGTCATATGCAGATTCGCTTTATGAATGCCTTTTATTCCAATGTAAAATACTCTCTTCTGCCGGTGAAAATGTTTCTAAAACTAATTTGTGAAGAATTTTGCTTATTTAGAGACATTTTCTGTGTTGAAAAATAAAGATTTTATCCTATTGTTACTGATATTTTAGAGATATTAAAAGGAAAAAAACGTATTTGCTATGCATAGGCTATGATAGGTGTGAATTATTGTTAAGGCTTGAGGAAATTCGGGTGCGAATGCTTTATATCAATTTTTTCAAGTTGAATATTTGTGCCAGGTCAAATTCACATTTTAATACTTTAAACTTACCTTTCATGTGTAAATAAAAAGAAGGAAATGTATGGATTAATCAGAAATTGAATCAATCACTCTACCAACTGAGTTTCCGAATAGGTGATAACCACTACTAAACTTTTACATTCCTCCCTCCATAAATTGTCTTTGCATTCGAACTAGTTCGAACTGAACTGAACTGAATTTATTGATCTCTTCACAATTTTACAATTGTGTAGCGAGATGTAAACAACAATGATGACAAATAAAAACACATAGCATGCATGAGTATGAGGATAGACAAATAGTACACTTATAGTTATAGCTAGGTTTAGATCTTTACTAATAATTTGAAGACACAATCCAAATTCTTATTAGTCTGCCCATGACAAGACAGTTACCTTCAAGTCTAGTGGAAATTGATAGTACCAAGCTATGTAACAGGAAAGGAGAAAATGTACAAAATTTCTGGACTCAGAATCCAACCTGCGAAACAGCAATCATTTTACAGAGATAAAAGATTATTAAAAAATAAATACCTCTAACCTGGTAAATCAATAAAATTGAATGATCATGCATAAAGTATGAATATCGAAAATAATGTAATAAAATTTGATATACAAATATTGTGCTTTGTACACAATGCAGGTTATTTACCTTTAATTGTTAAGAAATAATAATAATTATAGAAATAAATACAATGTATAGGTAGATTAATATTGATTGCTATTTGTATGATAATACACACCTATCTGTATTGTCTATTATGATGTTGTAGATGAGCCTGGACCAGATCTCCCTGAACTCTTTCCTCCCCCTCCTGGTGGAATCTCTCTTCCTGTCCTCCTCCGTGGCTGTGATCCTCATCGACTGGAACTACAGTTTCCTGGAAATGTCCCTCCTGAGGATGCTCCAGAGTTACCTCCCTCTCTGGAGGAGGAGAAACATCAGACAGGATGTATACATCTGCCTGGTGATAACAGCACTGGCTATTATGTACAACAACTGTATGAAAAACTTCGCCATCAATTCAGAGAACTGTAGAATAGCTCTGACTGTCATAGTCGTTCTGCTGTCATTTTGGCTTCAGAGTAAAAGAAATAAAAAGAATGTCTCAGATAAATGTGTAGGCACCTCAAATTCTCCAGTTTCCAATGAATCAGTCAAAGGATCCCCAGTAAAACACAAGAACCAGGAAACCAGTGGCTCCACCTGCCTTGAGGCTGGGACATCTCAGCACTCTCTGTCCCATTCCTCCTCACAGGAGGACTCCGGCCTCTCCCTGGATGACTGTTCTGAAGATTCCCCTCACACTGCAGTGGAGAAGAAGGGGTATAGTTCAGAGGATTTAAAGAAATTGTGGGATAAATGCATGAAGAGCAACAGTAAGCATTATTAGATCCACAGCCAATATCAGTTATCTACATGATATATTGTTGCAAATTACATTTATTTTCATCAGAAAGTGGCCTGTGTGAAAATATGATTAAGGGTTGTGTTCCCAATAATATTTATTTAAATACAAACATTGAATTAAGTGCAATCTCGTACACCATGCACTTAATCTTTATAAAGAGTTCTTGCCCCTGTTTATGAAGTTGATAGTTTATGCACTAAGTCAGGCCACACATTTCTTGTATTAAAAAATATATCTATCTTGGATGTTCTATACTGAATTGTAATTCCTTTGATTAAATTAGTAAACATTCAATGTAACCAACATGATCAAATTATAGTCTATTGTCCTAAATTCAGATTATTTCTTACTTTGGTTCACTTAGTAGTTAAGAACAAACAAGTACTTATGTACCGTATCTATACTTAAAAAGATTGTTGTCTGTTCTAGGTTTTCATCCTTCTCCTGAAGAGTTTAAAGCCATACAACATGACTATAAAGGTATAGGTAAATAGCGGTTTGATTATCATGATCCAGTACCTTATAATCTCTTATTATGTAGTGTTGATGAACTGATGATTAGCTTATTAAATTTTACAGTTTTTCATACGTACATGTACATGTGTTTCATCTATGATTAAATTTGACATACTGTGGAATCATATTAATTTGTGAGGGTCAATGATGGTTGGTATGCAAAATTTTACGTTTGTTTGGATGTAATTCCACGGGTTACTCGTTTATACGTTAGATTCTATGAAATTAATGCTTACGAAAGAAACGTAAATCTGTGACCATTGAAATCTGAGCATTGGTCCCCCACAACCAATGATGATTTCACAATAAATAAATACTGTAAGGAAACATTAGAGTGATTTTAGGTAATTTAGCCTTGTATTTTAATTAAAGAACAATATAAGTGACTTATGGCAGTACTGTAAAATTGTTAAATTATACACTGTACATTACTTTTAAATGATCATGTATTTGTAGTGCAATTGGAGAGGGATGTAGAAGTGAAGGACAGAGAAATAGAGGAAAAGGATCGAGAGATGGAGGAAAAGGACCACGAGATAGAGGAGACAAAGAGGGAGGTGGAAGAGAAAGACAGGGAAATAGAGGAGACAAAGAGGGAGGTGGAGGAAACAAAGAGGGAGGTGGAGGAAACAAAGAGGGAGGTGGAGGAAACAAAGAGGGAGGTGGAGGAGAAGGATCAGCAGATGGAGGAGACCCGTCAGGAGATGGAGGAGACCCGTCAGGAGATGGAGGAGGCATTGGAAATATCAATGAGAGTGGTGGAGGAGACCACACAGGACGTGACAAATAGCCAGCAAGTCATACAACAGAAGGACCAAGCCTTACAACAGAAGGATGAAGCCTTACAACAGAAGGATGAAGCCTTACAACAGAAGGATGAAGCCTTACAACAGAAGGACAGGATGTTGTCTCAGAAGGACATTCTACTGCAGCAGGAGAGACTGAGAGTCCGAGAGCTAGAGTGGAGCCTTGAGTTGGAGTTGCAGAGAAGACTGGAGGCACTGGAGGAGGAAATTCGTCGACTGTCTGCCCAGTCTGACCGCGCCAAGTGTAAGATCTGCCTTGTCCAGGAAGTGCAGGTTTCCTTCATTCCCTGTAATCACTTAATCTCATGTCAGGGATGTGTGGACAGACTGCCAGAGAGAGTGTGTCCTATCTGTAGGGAAGACATTGAGGGTACAGTCAACATGTTATTGGCGTAAAGAGGGAAGGTGAATAGTGTACCTTACTGCAGCAACCAAATATCTGTTTGATTGTCCTCTTATTTGGTTTTCATATTTTTTGTAGTTGACATTAGTTTCCGGATGGGAGTGTACAAATACAAAGCTTTTGTTTTTAACTAATGTTGAATGCATGAGAGAAAAAAAAGACTTCAATGTAAATAGATTTTATTATGATTTTTTAAACTAAAAAGCTTTTGAAAAAATTCTTATAATATTTTTTTCTTACCATAAATTAAAATCAGGAAATGGAATTTTCAAAATTTTAACTATAATTTTTCAAGACAAATTTTTAAACAACATTTTAAATTTAGAAATGCTTTTTTTTTGTGAACAGGATTTTCATGTTACAGAGATTTGATGTAGCATGTATGATAGTGGTTTACTGTGTGCGTAATTGTATACTTAAGGGCAGCTTGTGCAATACAATTTTTTACATAATAAATGAATGTTTTACATATCTTGTGAACATGTGAATTGTGTGTATGTTTTTTGTATACTGATATTACTTTTTTATGTGTGTGTATTTGAAACTAAGTATTAGACATTACTTGTAGTAAGTTGTGTCAGGTTGTTTAGATGTGGGTTGTATGAGTCTGAGAACACGATTATTAAAGAATGGCAGCACTTGTATCAAGTATTCATATTACAATATGAGATGTACATGTATGGTAGCTTTATAGACAATACTTATTTTTCTAATGAAAAATAAAAACATTTGAGGGAGTCTTTTACAAATGTTGTATCTTTAAAGCAAGACTTAACACTTGTGTATGTTTGTGTGTATGGTTATCTAGTAAGTAATACGTGAGGTGTCTAGTGTTTGAAGAATAGTTTTGTAAATACATGTAGTCTAAATAATTTGTTGTATATTTTGTTTAATGGGTACTGCGTGTCTCCTAACACAAAATGAACACAGAAGACACATATTTTATGTACACAGAAATACATATATAAATATGTGTATCATTAGTGCTATGTATAGAAATTAACATCATCGGTAACCCATGGATGATTCACATCAATTCTCTGTATTTGGGGGAGCTTTGGAACTCAAAAACTGTGGTTTGCGATGATGAGACATACTGTACGTATATACAACTATATAGTAGCATAGATCTACTTGTATTACCGGTAACTGAATAGAGCTGCTTTATTTTATGACCTTTTTAAAGACATTTATAAAACCCTGAAAGTCCTTTTACACAAATTTTTTGTATTTTGTAAATATTTTAGTATTTTTTTGGATACATCTCATTTTAAAATCAAGTTTATGAAAGATCTGTTTTTAATTCTCATCTTTTCACTTTTCTTTACCACTTCTTTTGTATCATTTCTTTCTGTTCATTAGTTGTCTTTGTTAAGAGTATTAAATGTAGTTCAATTTGTACAAAATACTTGCAATGTACATATTAGATTATCATTTAATAATGAATAAAATATGCATAAACGTATCGTACATTTATTTTGTTAATTAAATTTTTTTTTTCCGAAGATGAACCAAAGGTGCTATATACCGGTACTTACCGGGTATATGTGCTTCCCTTGGCTTTTTTTAACCACACTTTAAGAATTTTTTAAAAGGTAATTTTCTTGGAAATTGTATTTTTAATTTTTATCGTCATGCACCCATAATATTGTACAAGTAAATATATTCCTCTAGATACTGCACTGAATTTCACTAAAAATCAAGTACATGTACTCAATTTTCATACTGCCATTGGACTTATTTTTTTATTCCCCTTTGTATTTACAAAGTTCAATATTTTCCATTCAGGTCTACAGTTTTGTGCAAAGTATAAAGGATCATTCTGATTTCAAATCTATGAAAGGTGTTTTTTTTTATGCCCCTTGCTGTAATCAAAGATTCGGGATATTTAGCTTTGGCCTTTTCTGTTTGTCTGGCTGATTTGTTTGCTTTCATATGAGATATTTCATATGTGCTAGGGTTTTCATATTTTGCATCATTGCATTTGAATTTCTTCAATAAAAAGGTCTTACCTACCAGGTATGTACCATTAAATTTAACTCTTTGACACTGAATTTTGACCCAGTCTTAACAAAACATTAACACACCATTTTTACCATGTTTATCCTCAATGTCATTTCTTCGGGTAACAATATTTTTTTATCTCTTGACCACATTTGAGAATTTAATAAACTGACATAGGTCAACAATGTTTCACAAATATTTTAACCTTAATATTGCCAATACAATATACATGTACATTAACTTATTCAACTCATGTAGTGTAGGGTACTGCCATTTCAAAATGAAATACTAGTACTGAATAATAAAAACATCAATGAAGGACATGGGTGAACATGACGTGAGATAAGCCCATAGCGCAACAAACATGAGAGTGAAAAATTAAATTTCAATTATATCAAAATTTTCCTTAATATTTCATCTAACATTAAAGTACTGTTATACTTCATGTAAAATCTCTACAACTTACACAAATCTCATGAAGGTTCAAGTTATTTGCCTATGAAATACTATACACACAGAAAAAGAGGACAAAACGAGTTATTTTTTCACACTATAACACTATTTTTTTATATGAGTGGGTCTTCTCTCAATTTTGTTGAGAGTTAATCCTCAAAGTTTGCATACAAACATACATATTTTGGTTTCCAAAATTATGGAGCAAAAATAACCTTAAAAATATAATTTTATGTAGCTTTCATATCTTTCAAGAAAACTGAATTAAGTCAATGGTCATATCACAAACATGATTTAAATGCCACACTTGACCAGTTAATTAGTCAATAGAGAATGCAACACAGGATTTTAAATGGATACCACATTATTTTTTTTTATATATAAAAGAATTAATTTCAATGAAAAATTTTCCTCAAAACTTTTTGTTTATCATGATTTCATAAAAAACAATGATAAGATCTTTACTCTTTATGATTTTTATATATCTGAAACTTTCTGCACGCTAAATTCACCCATCTCCTTTCAGGCTTTTTTACAATCCCAAAGTAAAACACATTAAACAAAAACATACTTTCACAATTTAATATTATAGTTATTTTAAATTATCCATCATTATATATTTATGTAACCAGTAACTGCAAACACTTGATCTTTAAATACATGTATGCATAAAATCTGAGACTCCACTGCATAGCTACAAAGAGCAATGAAACATAAAATTCTTTTCAGTAATAATTTCATTTATTTCTCTTTGTGAAAAATCATTGTTTACAATTTATAGCATTGAAATAAAACAAATGGCAAGTTAGTAAATGTCAACTTAAAAATGCATTATACAGTACATGAACAATTGAATACGTGCCTTAACTATGAAATGATTGCTTGCATGTATACTGTAGAAACGCAATTTAAATTGTAATAACAATGACAACCTAGAAGTGAAAAGCAGCCAAATACACACATATTTTTAAATCATTAAGCAAATACATTTCTATCTCTTTAAGAGCAATGTTTATAAAATGAGAGACAGGAATCCCCTTTGGTAGCCTAGAGTTTTGGGTCCACTATGCTCCCTACAAAACCTGTTATCTATGCGTCTCATTATACCTAAACCCTGGTTAAGGGTGGTTGGGGGGGGGGGGGGGGGGGTGTGGAGTAGACTGAAAACCCCTGGCTAGCAAAGATGGGCAGAAAATTAAGAGGGATAAGTCGAAGTGTATACTGGTACACAGTAAAACTCCCTTAGTACGAAAACAGATATTGCGAAGTCATCTTGGATCCCCAGCTGTATAAATTTAATGAATTTCTTATACAGTTGTAGCGAATTACGGATATAGCCAAATATTTACATTCAGTGTAATTTTCCTTATGAAATCCATTAGAAATCCGCGACGTTCAAATTTCTATAACACACGCGAAACCTTGTCACCGCGCGTTAGAATACACAGTAGGAACTATATGCATTTTCAATACTCTAGGAACACCAAATTGTAAAATGTTTTATTTCAATTTAATGAAAAATTATAACCCTGAAAAATTAACGTAAAAATTAACGTAATGTGCTTTAAGAATTAATTTGTCCTTTTTTTCCTCGCAGTGTTTGTTTGCGTAATTTAACTTTGCAACGTCATTTGACGTCACAAACGGCTCTTACATCTATTAACCACGGCAGTTTTAAAGGGCGCTAAATTAACATTTAAGATTAGCGAAATAAGCAATTATGAAGAAGGAAAATTAGAGAATGTAAATATAAGCATTGAATTCATACTTTTGGTTGTCTTCGGTCCTATAACACACCTGGCCGTGCCGACAAATTTATCATACCGCGCTAACGTGCAGTATTCAATTTGTCGGTACGGCCAGGTGTGTTGTAGGACCGAAGACAGCCAAAAATATTAATTCAATGCTTAAGTAATTTCATAGGTCCCAGTGACTTCATTATAACCGAGTTTTGCTGTACATCATAATAAATATAACTGTTTCCGAGAATGTTTTAACACACCCTAAATCAAAATAATCGGCACATCTGTATTTAGAGTAATTCCCCCCATTGTTATTTTTGCCTTTTTCACATTTGCAAAGAATTTAGCCTTATCTTAAATTTGCCGAGAAACAGCTGTGTTAAGGACATACATGTTTAATATGGTAATAATGTTGTATAATTTGCATTTTAATTTATTTACACATATATCATAGACGAGATAATGATATTCAGAACCATCTATACAAATTTTTAAGACTATACTTCATATCACATACATGTATGTCAATAAAAATATTCCAGACACATGACCTCAAACAAAACAGAACAGCCTATAGCATATCATTCATATGTAAACCAATACATTTTTCTGCATAAAACAGTAAAACATGCCATTTAAATAATCACATAGCAGGTGCTCAATATGTTTATACATGTATGCATGTTAGTCCATGACTAGTTACAAAATACAATAACATACCATCTATTGAGAGAACATATAAAACTATCATTTCATTGGCCTTCTGACAGAATATTGATAAAACGGCCTATTGTGATACATATCATTTGTTTAAAATCAACTGAAAGACTGAGTAAAACTAAGAGTGTCTTTGGTGAGCCTTTATCAGCTGCGTTTGACCGGGGTGGAATAAACTGAGATAAAACTGTCTGTACTGCCAGCAGCCAACTTCACCTACAAAGGGCAGATAATTCACTGAGATAGCACAGCAAAGCCATGTGCAAATGTAAAATTAACTAATTAACTAATTAATTAGAGTAAAAGCGCAGCACAGTTAAGGTTACAAAAAGGAGGCGGAGCCTAATTTGTACGGGAAAACTTGACTATGACATCATACACATTATACGTCATACAACATTTCTTTAAAATACCACAAAATGAGTTGATTTGCTAATTTAACCAGTAAGAAGTAATCCAACTACATAAAAACTCACTACAGCGTGCTGTTTTGTTGTTAGTTAAATCCAACATAACAAGTTATAATCAAGTCACTGATCGCAATACACTCGTCAATATGACGTCATTTCTTACAACGTGACGTAGTTTGTATGCAGTGATAGACAGATAACGTAATATTTTCTCAACAAAATGAGTACTTTCTAATTAAATAAAATATTATTTACAGATATTCTATAGGCTAATAACTGGAATTTAATGTCTTCTTCACTATTTTATTAATATATTTTCTGTACATTACGTATTTAATTCACACTGCCGTATATTTGTATGCAAGTACATCGGAGGGTAATGTTGGGGGTCTTAATAAATCGATCTAGTGCAAGGGCATACACTCTATGGATCAAACTAAGCTTTTACATTTCAACTCTAGAACTATTAAGGTATCTGAAAAGTGCTGCGATCCTGATGAAATCTTAAAAACAATTAAATTATATCAATATTTCATGCCGATGAACAGCAAAAAATACAGCATTCGATCATACAAATATAATTTTAATAATGAAATTGCAGAATTTAGACAGGATCGCAGCACTTTTTAGAAACTAGAATGCGTGTCGAAAATATTTATATACTAAACATGGAAATTTAATTTGGTTATGCCCTTGCACTAGTGATATTTATATAACATCAATACTGCAAGTCAATGTGCTAAAATCGCGTGAATGCCACATCACGTGACTAGTCTAAATATAAAATAAAATCGTCCGCGATATGTAGTTATTGTTCATAATAACAATTATCTAATATAAATAAAGTACTAAAAATAATCGCCATCCCGATTACGAATACATTTTTTAATACAAAATTTAGTCGATATTTCCATTGCGCACCTTAACTGTACTGCGAGTAAAAATATTTGCAGGAAGTGAATTTTTTTTATTCTTTGAAATTTACATTTATCAATGAAATAAAAAAAAAAACAATCTTTTTCTGTCTTAACTACTTCTTTGACTGTAACATTTCATAATCATAGATCACATGGGATGATTTTAACAAGTACACAATTTTTTTTTGTACCTTGTAAGGATGAAAAGCCATACAGCTAGCTGCTCCGATTCTCTGACCCAGAAATCCCTCGTGGTATTTAATTGTACTCAGATTGTCTCCTGATGTGTTATACACCCCAATAAACTGGTTTGGTGAGCCACTGTAAAGCATAGAGGACTTTTTGTTAAAAACAAAGAACACTGCATGGCAAGTTTTTAACTGTAGTCAATTTTTCAGATAGATACTGTAAATGTACATAATCTTGACTTTAATAATTATATCATATATAATGATACAATATATGATTTGATTTATGATTTTTCAAATGTATCTTTCAAAAAATACTTCAGTCTTTAATTAAGGTAGAAATTGAATAAGAGTAAGAAAGCTGACAAACAAAACAAAAGTTTTTTTATGTACTAGTAATTATTATGTCTTTCTGCCTTTTGATGTGTGTGTAAAATAGAACACTTCATAGACGGCTTTAGAAATTCTATTAAAGCGTGAGATAATATTTTATGGAAATGTCATACCAGTGATAAAAAACCCAAACTCACCAGGCTAGAACATCTGCATGCTTGTGAATCTCTAAAGCAGTGATTCCTTGCGTTAGGTTTAATGTTTTTACTGACTCTGTAAATCGAGGATCCCAGAATCTAACATCACCCGCATTGCTACAAACATAAAATAGATGTATAAATAATATTAAAAAGGTAAGGCTTATACATGAACCCTATACACATTCACAATACTATACAATATAAACCAGTGAAAAATGAGATGGATTACAGTGGACCCTCATTTATCCGGACGCTTTGGTTCCCAGTCAATTTGTCCGGATATGTGAAACATCCGGATATCTGAATCACCAGTTAAACAAGACAGAATAACATTTTAAAATTTCGTTCCGATAAAAAATCGTCCGGATACTGAAGCATCCGGATATCTGGCGTCCGGATATCTGAAGGTCCACTGTACATGTATTTTCTGTTATACTCACCTAGCACTAACTATTTTGTCCTCTGAGCCTTTTTGCAGATGAACCTTCACAACCCATCTATTATGCTCTCTCAAAGTCATAACTCGACTGCAAACAGAAGTTAAATTTTCAAAGAACAGTTTAGTTATGGCTCTTTTCATCCTTGTTACAAGTGCCCAAATTAAAACTGTGCAAATTCAAAGGACACAACTCTGAAAACAGTTTTCGTTCTTACAAATCCTCAACTCACCATTCTGATGGAGCCAGCCTTCTGTCAAACAGTCTTACTGTCCCATCCCCACAACCTGCTATCAGTAACGACCGGCCAAACGAGTCGGAGGCCAGGCTGGTAACACAACTCTCCGCACCAGTCGGTATATCCTATATATACACAATAACGGTCATTGTTAGCTTTAAATGGAAATGCACCCAATGAAAAATATTTAATCTACATTGTACAATGTACTGAGAACATCTTTGATTAGCTTTACTTGTCAATTTCAAACAATTTTATAAATTTTTAGCACAGAGATTCCCCCAAAATATCTCGTTCTTCCTTTTTCTTGTTAAGAAAGGAACAATGACAGTGAGTCATTAAATATTCTTTGTTCAAGTCTGCTTTATCCTTTCCTACCTGTACTTTGGTCTCTCTTTGAGAATCCCAGATCCGGATGATCCGGACATCCCCGGAGGCCAGTAACATTCCAGATTCCTGCTCCCAGTCCATCACAAGACCAGCTCCTAAAACAATCAAATACCCATGCACTATTATCTCATTTACTAATACTATACAACACAGAATATTCAGCTTATTATTTTGACATAATGCATGTGGATATAGTTTCTAGCAGTTGTGGCAAAATTTATTGAAAATGAGACTGATGACTGAAAAAGCCTGATCAATTTTATGACATATCAGGGCATGTAGTTTTTAACAGTAACAGCAAAACAAACATACAACTGTAAATGTAGGTGTATGTGTAGTTTGTTTTTATGAAGTAACTTACGTCTGACTGTTGGAATAAGGTCAGTTATTGCTTGAAATGCAGTCACCAATTCCTTCCCATCATACCCCTCTGTGAGGTAGTTCCTCCATATCCGAACTGCTCCGTCATCTGTAAATAAAACACAGCGTAAACATCAACATTTGGAAGGATGTATGCATTCATTTGAAGGATTTGTTCCCGTTTTGCATATGAATTTCAGGCATAGAAAAAATGTGTGCAAAATGGGAATTAGACCAGGTGAGATAATTAGTTAATTGGTATAATCTATACCAAAATTGGTAGATAGGGGAAAGATGAACCTATAGGCAGATACATGTAGGAGAGTATTGGAAAACTTTATATCTAACACTTCTACATCTCCTTTGCCCATTTTGCTAAGACCTACAAGTCCAACACAAAAGCAAACTTTAAACAAGATATTCCCCACTGATATTTTTATTAAGACTTACCACCCATGGCTGATATTTTGGTGTTTTATTTATGACTTACCACACATGGCTGATATTTTGGTGTTTTATTTATAAGACTTACCAGTCCCACATAGGAGCAATGTCTCATCATGGGGGTTGATGAAATCCATGGCTGATATTTTGGTGTTTTTCAGATTCTCATTGTAGATGTAGTTCTTCTTTGTGCCCTGTTCCCAGTCCCAAAAACTGAAAAAAAGACATATAAAATTCTTGAGAACACCATCTTGTTTGATCATATATTTTCTAAACAACTAGAAATACCAGGTATTCGGGTAAAAGTAAATACAGGTAGCTTGTGGTTTCCATACATGTTAAGTCTACCGATTTAAGCGGGAGTCTACCGCTTTTTCATTCCATCTCCCGCCTACCGATTTTATTCGTAAATCTACCGCTTTTCTACAAAAGTTCCGTCTGAAGTATTTTTGGTTCGCTTGGGTATCCATTTTGGAAGCCACTCGTCATCAAATCTCGTTAGATAACGCGTGATTTGACCCGGAAGCATACAAACGCTTTTTTGTACCGATGTATATATAGATTTCAAAGCATGTATTTGACAACGACAACAGCACAAGATTACCAGTGATTACATTGGTTACGATAAATTTTCAACATTACTGCCATAAAAAAGGAGATAAAACATTTTAGAATTTGATGAAAACGTTTGACATTGTCTACAAAAGCACAGGAGTTCACAATTTTATCAGTAAAGTCAATAGAAATAACTCGATTGACCACGCCATGAGGCACTCTCTACTTTCGTTTTCGTTCATCCGATCGTGGGAAATCTATTTATTTAACGAAAGATAGGAACTAGTTTTAAGCTTAGATTAAACCATGTCATTATTTGTTGTGTTTTACAACTGAATGAACATTCAGAATTATTGCTTTTAGGCTATATTAGCAAAGATCACTTTTCAAAAGGCTAAGTAAACAGCCAGTGAATTAATCAAAGCAAAATGATAAGCTTAAAATATATTTGTAGGTGTTTTTGTCTACTTATTTGCCGTTAATATTTAATTATTGTAGTTTTTATTTAAGGCCATACATGCATTGTATTTTACAAGAAATATATATATTTTCTTTATAAATCCTAGCTTAAAACAACGCGCGCGCAATGCTACCGCTTTTGACGTCTGAATCTCCCTATTTTTCATCACAGTAGGTTAACATGTATGGTGGTTTCCCTTTAACACTTACCAAATTCCATCCTTATCAGCGACTGCTACATGGCACTCGTATGGATGAAACTTAATTACAGTGGGGATCCCCTGATTCTTATTTACAAACACTTCTACATCAAGTCTGTTAAAGCCTGTAAACAGAAAACCCACAACTAGTACTTGTGATATCTGAATTTGTACAATAAGTCAAATAACCCTTAACTGTTTTCATTGATTCTATCTGACTTCTTAATTTCTTGTTTCATTCAGAAACAGAAATTGGGATAAAATTAATAAATTCATAGTAAAATTTAATTTACCTCATTTCTAGTATGATTAACCCCCCATTTCTGGTACTATAGTTGTAATTTACCCTGTGTCCAGTGAATACAGATGACTGGATGTACATGTACTGTGTTTATCACAATAAGTAATGTAATATTTCAAGTGGATTAAGATCTTTGATAAAATTTTAATTTCCAAGCTCCAATTATGTATATCACTACAACTGTGACATAGATAACTACAGGTGTGTTTACTTTATAAAATTATTACCTGCCCTGAGTTGCTCCTCTCTCGCTTCCTGTCGGACGTTAGCGTTCCGTAGAAATCGGAACTCTCGTTTATGATGCGAGGAGCTCTCGGGATCCTGTTCCTCCGAGAGACGCATCAGGGGCTGGGCGAAATGGCGACAGCTCCACTCAAAGAACTCCGTGGTTACTGAGATCTGCTTGATATTTCGTGAATCATCTATTAAATCCTCTTGTATCTACAAAATGTTATGACAATGAATTTAAACAAATACATTGTATATCTTTTTTCTTTTATTATTAAAACTAATATACATCCAAAAGTAGAAAAGAAAATCTTTCTGAATCATTGAGGTATACACATGTGCATGACTGGTATACATGATTCATGCAGAAAGTTCTAGTAACTTTTAAAATCTTAAAATTTATTACATCAACTTATAAGGAAGCTTTTAATTTATAGATACAGCTAAATTCCTTACCATTCCTGTGGTTTTGTCGGACAGCATTCTTTTACTGCGAGGGTGAGGACTTGTGTGGGAGTTGACCCTGCCTGATAGGTGAGGGGAGGAGTAGTCCCGCTTCATTTGACCTCCCGGTGTCAGGTGTACACTGTCTTCATGAAAGTGGTTCTGTGGGGGTGTGCTATAACAACAAATTGTTAAAACATTCAAATCAGTAGTTTACTTAATCTTACTTTTCTCTAATATCTTACGGTTTAAAACCCTAAAAGTATTTTTGTAAAAAGATAGACATGACATGTAATTGCAAAATTTTAGACACATCAATATGAAATACATATATATACTTAGTTCAACTCCATGTAAATATACATGTACATGTCTACATAAGAAGTTTGTTTATTTTTTAAAATATCTTTTAGCTCCTTACCCATGTATTGGGGCTGAATTGGAAGGACTTGATGGGGCAGAGAGAGATGACTTGGAGTTTTGGATCACATAGGCTGGTCTCACACTCAATGAAGCCTGCAAGAAAATAAAGAAATGAAATAAACATTATCTTCATTAAGTATTTTTTTTTGTGTGTTAGTAAGAATAATCTGAATGCCATTTGATTTTCCTTATAATGTATAACATTACAGAGCTCTACAGAAATTTATACTATACATGTAATTTATTTAGCTGTAACTATATTCAGTGCCTTTTTTTGCTAATACATGTGCATGTACTTGCTCATAAAATAATACATTTAAAAGCCTGATTCTAAAAGTTCTGACTTATCATTATGCTTATCATTTAATGAAGATTGCACTGAATTTTGAGCATGCTATATTACATGTATGTTTGTTTAAGTATGCTACATTCTATCCTGGCAGGAATACAACAGGGAGAAATTAGGATTCTGACACCTGCCTTTAATGGAGAATCTAACTTTGTCACACTTTTATGGATTGAGTATTGCCTGTATTTACCTTCAGCTTGAGTACATTGACGATCTGTTTAGCCATCTCCACCACCTCCCTGTGTGGCCCCGTGGCTAACTGGACCAGCACCTTCCACACCGTCATGTACACACTGCTGAAGGAGGTGCCAGTCAGGGTGTTGCTGGAGTGGGTCCGCCTGATGGAAGAGCCCTCGCTATGGAAACCGTCAGTGGAGCTGACAGAGCCACCAAATGAGGAGTTAGTGGTTGAAGACTGGGAAGCTAAAAATCAAAGAAAATCATTTAAAACTGAAATTTAGCAAGTGTTAGAACATGAATGTTGTCAGCAATCATAGTACAGGTAACTTAGATAAACAAAAACAAAATATACATGTAGGTGAAAATATATTCAATTTTTTTCTGTTTCAAATATTAAAACAAAATAAATGTATATTGGCTCAATATCCTTTTACACTATGTTAATGAAAAATTAATACAGAAATCTGTGTGCATCTAAGAAATAAGTGTAAAAGCAGGTATAGGTAGCACATGTAATTAACATATACATGTATATGTGAACATTGTGCAGATATTATGCAAATCATCCCTTCACCAGATGTAGGATTTTTCATTTCACTACAGGAAGCACCATCAATTTATAAAGCTTGATGTACAAAGAGTACTGATATACATGTATATTATGGAGTCTACAGTGGAATACTAGGAATACAGAGGTGCTAAGCTATTCAAAGATCATGAGTGAACATATTTACTGAATATAAAAAAGCATATGATTTAGCAATGAATGACACCCTAACTGGAAGACTAGCTACTGTGATATTGTTACTAGTCTCTCTTTGCTTGGTTTACATATACAGTGAAACACGCTTAATGTGAACCCTTAAAATGAATTCACGCTTTCAGCGAAGTATTTTCAATCCCTGTCATTTTAAAATGTATTGTTATCTTAATGGATATAATAAAATACATTTATAATGAATAAAAACTGCACATCTCTGGCATTTCGCCATAACCATGTTTTATCATACTGTGTATTTTCTTATCATAGTGAGATTTATACTTTAGCCTAGCACATGTATATGCATCTTATGCTTTGCCTGTATTGTAATCATTCATGTCAGCATAGGCATACGCTTATGATAATAAATGACATACAGTGTAAATTAATATTATTAATATAACAAATCCATGACCTAGAAATACTCTAAATTCTTTAATCCCTGAGAATTAAGTATACATGTATAAGCAATATAAATTATGCATTAAATTTAACTTCATTTGAATAATTGGTAAAATTTTAATGCATAAGGATATGAAATAAACATAGATTAAAAGCTTTTTAAAATTTCTGATGTACAGTCTCGTGAAATTTAATTATTTCTTTATTCTCTAATTTTTTGTATTATATAAAACAATTTTCAGAAAAAGCATTTGAAGAGATCTAGAATTATATATAACAAATTCAGATTTAGTATCATATTATTCATTAATTTAAAAGGAATTGACATTTTTGACACAGAAAAAGTTACTGTTTCCAAATATTAATGCTTCATGATTATTGATTACCAGTAAATCAGACAATAGACAGAAGCAACAAAGGAGAGGAAGGGGTTAATACCAGTAGAGCCTGTTACTAGATTCCACCCACCCGGAACTTCCCCAGTCACCACCGCACTCTTCTCCTTCTGTCTCTCCTCCTCCATCCACTGCACCACCACATTACAGAACTGGGACTCGAACTCCACGACCAGGGCGGATAGAGCTACCACCACCTCCTGTAATAGACAGAAATACAAATAATAATCACCACCACATTACAGAACTGGGACTCGAACTCCATGACCAGGGCAGATAGAGCTACCACCACCTCCTGTAACAGAAATACAATAATCAACACCACATTACAGAACTGGGACTCGAACTCCATGCCCAGGGCAGTTAGAGCTACCACCACCTCTTATAACAGAGAGAAATACAATAATCACTACCACATTACAGAACTGGGACTCGAACTCCACGACCAGGGCAGATAGAGCTACCACCACCTCCTGTAATAGAAATATATTGTATAAAATTTAATAATCACTTTGGTTACCTTTCTAACAAGTGGACTTCCATCAGATCCTACAGAGGCCAGCATCATCCCCACCCCCAGGTCAATGTTGTTAGCCTGGTCACTGCGGTCAGACACACTGATAAAGGTCCCCAGAGCAAACACTGCACTCGCTCTAACCTAAGGAAGAAATGCAAAAATATCTTGGTCATTGTGGTTAGACACACTTTATAAAGGTAAATATTTTTTTAAAAACAATCTTATTCACTAAACATCGTATGTTTATGAAGTAAAAAATTTACAGTCAATTGTGTGTTTTTTTTTAAACTTTAAACACATTTTACTTTTTTATCTTTTCTAACTATTATTGTTTTCTCTCCCCCACCCCCAATTAAGATCCCATGACAGCGTACCTCTGGAGAAGGATCATTCAGAAGTAAGGAGAGCTTTTCATGAGCCCTGTCTCTCACTCCACACCAGCGAGCATTGTCAAAGTTAGACCAGACCTACAAGTAAATTTTATATAAACATTTAACAGAAATCAAAAAATATGTGTTCAAAGGATGGTATTTTGTAGTCTTGAAATATTACATCCTAGGATGATTTAACAAGAGTTACCTTTCCTAGACAGAGTGCCAGCCACTGACGTAATGAGGAACTGGAATCTGATAACTGCTCCAGACAAATAGATATCACACTCCCCTGTAACGCTGCCTCCTACAAAGGAATTTATATTTACACATAGCAACACATCTCATCAATGCCAAAAAAAAAAGTACAGGAAAAAACTTAAAACAACTACATGCATATGCATTTGCAATTTTCAAAAATAATTTTGTTAAACTTTGGGCAATAAATGATCAGAAACAAATGTTCAATTACATTGCTGTGAAATGGACTAACCTGGCCTTGTTTGTAGTCATTAACAATCATTGCCAATACAAAGGCTGCCATAGTCCTGTGCTCTGCCTGTGAAGCAAATCAAGATAATCAGATGACAAGTAACTGATCGGTACACATATTTCAGGGATTACAAGTTAGAGAGAGTGACTTACTGGCATGTATGGGTCGGCTAACACAGACAGGAAGTACTTATGGCCATTGTCTTTCACTAAGTCTGTTTGACAAGACTGTAAAAACAAAAACATTTGAATTTTCAGTCCAAAGTTTATAATTTGGCACACTCCATCATACTCATATCATTTCCTAACTTTTTATCCCCCCCCCCAAAAAAAAACCATTGCAAGTTCATACTTTCATTATTTAAGTTAATACAGCATACATACACTATCAACAGACAAAATCTTGGCCCAGATGAACACCAGCAGGGGACGTAACTCTCTGGCTGAGCTTTGTAGAAGTTTAAGGACGTATGGAAAAATACCAACTGATAAAGCCTGCAAGGATTAATAAAATGAAAAAATTCAATTTTTAGAGTATACTCCAAATACGGAATCTGGGAAAATTTGCAAAAGAACCCTCAAATCTACATGTATTATAGAGTACATGATATTAGAAGTAACTTACCAGACTGACAGCCCAGGGACCCAAATCCAGGAATCGTCCCAACAGGTCTAAAGCTCTAAGTCTGTGAACCTGACTTAATAACACCTGAAAAAAAGAGAGTAGTTTCTGTCTAAAATACAAAATATAAATGAACATATTAAAGACATACACCTTTACTTCTATGATAGTTGAGCAAATTCAGTACCCTAATACCTTAAACTTTTGAATAGTACAGTACATTATGGTCTTTTTACAATTTAACAGAGTTGATACATGTACAAACACAATCAAGACACAAATCATGTCCTGCATACACAGATCATACCTGTAGTACTATAGGGAGTTGTTCGGGAGGGTTCCGTTTCTCTGACCCGTAAGACAACCACACCTGGAATGCAGTCAGCTGTTCTGTGAAGAAAGGACTGTGGTGGAACTGGGCATTCTCGTCCTCCAGTAGGGTAGGTAACTGTCTCAGGCAGATGTCCAGAGCTAGATCCCAGGCCTGCCTAGAAACAATACCAAATCACACATAGAAAAATGATTATACCTCTTAGTGAAATAACTGCTACTAGGGCTGACAAATTCCATAGCTCAAAGCCCAGGGTTAATGAATTTCAGGGGTGGGTATGTGAATTTTTATCATGACATGGACAAGTCTTTCATAAAATATATTTGTTAGCCTTGATGTAATAAGTTATTGATAAACAGAGTATTTCTCTCCTACAGTGACATCTTACCACATGGGGTGTTGGTATGTTGGGGGAAGACGAGGACTGGACATGGGGGTACAGTTATACGACCTCATGATTCTCTCAGCCAATAGGAAGTTACGGAATAAACTGGCCACCAACAAATCCTGTCTGAAGAGCTTCTGGAATAATTCTGTAAATAAAAGTCATTTCATACACCATAATGAACAACTATTTAATACACTGCATGCAAAAAACTTTTACAACGCTCATTTAAGTGCTGTTTCATACTTTGATATACACGTACATGTTCCATGCACATGACAAGTAAATAAACTTTTAATTGCATCACATGTTAATTATGATTCTTCAAAATGTATGTCTGCATTAATTATCAAACATATCTACATTTATAATTATATTGCAGGAATGTTTACATCACAAATATCTTAAAATAAGAAAAAGTGAGAAATCATAAAAACCTTTCAAGAGCATGAATAAAATTTACATCGCTTATAAAATTTACATCATTTATAAGAATTGTATGAATCAACTGCTTCCTTGTCTTTTAATAGTGGATTTTTTAGGCAAGTACATGATTTCAACAATCTAATAACATTGTTATTGACTATTACCTCTTGGCAGCGTGTTCCAGGCTATGGTGTCTGTGATGGCTGTAAATATCCAATTCAGTTCCCCTAACATGGTTCTTCTGTCATTCAACTGACCTGGAACTCTAGAATTCAAAAATTGTATTTGAAAGATGATGGTTCTTGAAATATATGCATTGTAGCTACATGTATATTTAAAAATATAGAGAGTGGCTCTCAAATACTTCAAAATTGGAATCAGATCTAACATTTGGAATAAATAATCATTGCAATGTAGGAACTTACTTATCTACAAGGTCCAAGGTAATATTTGGTACTAATTTACCAGTGTTTTGCAGAACATACCTGAATTTGTAAAACATCTTATTATTTTAACTATATTTTACAAATTAAATACTCAATTTTCATTACAGTGAATAAAATTCACATAAGATTTCAAAGAAGAAAGACAACTCTATCTCTACCTCAGAAAATCAGAAAGTCATACCCACCATTTAAGTGCTATTCTGATGGGGGTTGTGAGACAGGAAGTGAAAAGATCGGCAGGAAGTTCAGGATTCATGGGAAGTAACTCTGATGCTCCGCAGGCTGCCAGCTGTATACAGTTCCGAGCGGAGGACGTGGCAGGGGAAGGATTACCAAACCGGGGACCTGACCCATTCAGGGCGGACTGTTAAGTAAACACAGATATTTAGTTGATGAAGAATTGTATATTTCAAGACATTTATATAGTAATATCCTTATACTGTTCACATTTTTTATCAATCAGAAAATCATTCATGATTTTCTGAGAATCATTTTTAAGTAAAAAAATCTGAAATCTTTTCTTTTGTTACCTCTAGTTCTGAATCTCTCTGTAATGAGAACTGTCTGAATAGTTCTATGATGATCCCTGCATTAGAGCAGTCATACACATAGATAGAAGGACTCCCCATCCAGGTCTGCAGGTCATACACAGAGAGAGGGATGTACTGGGTGTAGCTCTTCAATAAACAAAATGTCATACATAGAGAGAGGAATGTATTGAGTGTAGCTCTACAATAAACAGAATGTCATACACAGACAGAGGGATGTATTGGGTGTAGCTCTACAATGCATAAAATGTATGCCTTATCATTTCTTTATCAAATTCATCAAGTTACTGAAGATTCTTTATCATGTCCAAAACTTGAATTATTACTACAAAGTGGACAATAAAACTCGATCCAAGCAATGTGCGAAGAAAATTCAGAGCAAGAGACACTGTAATTAATTTGCTTCCTAAACAAACCTTGTTGAAGACCCATATTTCCCCATTGACTGTAGGTCTTGGAACACCGTGTCCATTGTAATGGAATAAAACTCTCTCTTCCTGTAAAAAAAAATCTCTCCACTAAACAAATTATTCACATAATATTGTGAAACAAAAAGAGTTAATGCCATTTTATCGACTATCATGAAAATTCTGAATGTCATTGATGTGTTGCAACACAAGATCAAACCTGGCAGAAATGTTATATGTGAAAAATATCTGAGACAATCTGCCTTAAGTAAATGCATTTAAACATTGACTTGTGTATTGGGAAAACTAGCTCCTACTTTTGCATTTCTTCTGAGGGATGAACACAATTTCTTCACTTCATCCACCGTCGGGTCGAGACTCTGCTTGTACCTGGCCCTGGGTTGCCATCTCTCGTACTGTTTCTGTAGGTTTGCTCCTATTGCCTCCAGGGCTTTCTGAGAACTGAGGGGGTCAATCCAACATTCCAGCCGAGCACAGGGGCAGGTTTTCACGACATCTGGGGGGTCAACACCAACATTTAGACAAAGCACCAAGGCTACACTCACTGTCTTCATCTGAATAGCAAGATAAATTGTTAACATGGTATTATGTTATGATATTCAGCTTACCAACAGTTCTCTAAAAATTTCTCCTTCTTTGGGTACAATACTTGCTCGAGCAAATACATATTATGCAGACTTCATATCAATACACATAATTTGCATTGTAATTACTAATATCCGCTTTAAGTTATTCAGAAAACACATTCAGTCTTCACGAAAACTCACTGGTCCGAAGACCGAGGCCAGTGAATTTTGATGTCGGGTCAGTGAAAATCAAAATTCAAGAAGTCCGATGGGCTTGTTAATTATAAAAATCATACACAGTCAATATATATCTTAAGTTCTTAACTGACTTACTTGCATAAATTTCATTGATATATAATATAAAAAGAACAAGCTTGTGTTGTTGAATCGTATTATTGTAACGGTGTAACCCAATATATTATAACATGGATGTATTACGTAACAACCGGAACTAGCTAGTAACTATTAACTAGTACGTAAAATGTGTGAATTTCCAACAAACAACTTACCGAAACGCCACAAAGGACGAAAAATGGCGGCTTTTAAAAGTTGAAGTACGTAAACATGTATAAATTTACAGTTATGAAAATGTATGTATTTTATTTTTTAATTAAGGGGCCAGTAAAAATTTTGGTGGGCCAGTAAATTTTGAAAGTTCACTGGTCCGACTGGCCAGTTAGTTTGAAAAGTTTTCGTGAAGACTGCACATTATCCCCAGAAAAATGCCGATGTTTCCAGGACAAATTTATAAGTATTATTTAGAGTATACTTTGTATCGTAGATACAAATTTGGGGGTGGAGTCTCGTGCGGAGCACTCGTCCACCCCCAAATTTGTATCTACGATACAGGACCTTGTTGAAAGTTCCCTATATGATTTGTGACACGATCAATCAAAAATAGCTCCGCCCACTTTATAACTTTGTAGCATCCAAAACTCTCAGAGTTCTGTAATGAGACCCCGAACGCATCGCAGTATATATATTTCCACGGAAAACGTAAAATTCGGTCAGATTAGTTGTAATAATTTAACGGGGTAGACGTAATCGAGTGATAGTCGGTCTTAATGGATAAATTGGAGGATTTAACCGTCATTGCTGTGATCTATTGTAGATGGAGATTTATCATAATATATTTCAGGGGTCTTAAAATCCGGTTTAACTAGATTAACAAAAACAGGATTTACAGAAAATTCTTCGATGGACTTTGATGTCACGGATTTTATTTTCAAATTGAATTGAACATTGAAAACGAAATGAAAGAGATGTGTGGCTTTCGTCCGCGAGAAGGATTTTAAAAAATAAAAACGCGGAAAAAATGGACTTGAATGATTTTGCACGAGGAGAGTGGATGTTCTCCGTTATTGCGAATTTTCCGTTTCGTTTGGATCGAAATTACGTACAGAGGATGTTTTCCGTTATTGCGAATTTTCCTTTTTATATCTACTTTGGATCGAAATTACGTGTAAATTCTGTGTGGAATAAATTTTTAAAAAGTGACTGCCGAGAAATTTTGACATTTTACATTGTCAGGAAAATACTGGGTATTTCTCCAAAATTATAATAGGAAAACATCAGCATTTACTATTTGTACGTGCTTTTGCTAAATTAAATCAGACTTATTTTTAGACTGTGCTGTATGTTAGATACAGAATAGTTGGCAAATACAATACTGTATACAGGGCTAATACAGAACGGAAAGTAGCTCCGCCCACCACAGTCCCGTTCTGTATTGCTAATACAGAACAGTAAACTTCAAAGAAAAACACCGCCATCATGTCACAAATTTCAGTTTTGGACCAAATTCAAAGTTACAAGCTTTAACTTATGGAATATTTTGTGGTCTTAATGTAGATCATTTTTTTGTAAAAAGCAGGTGCTATTGCACTTGCAGTCTGAGGAGCTGTCCGAGAACTAGTACAATCGATGAATAGATCTTCAGGAACTACACCTATCGTGAAACCTAATGTATTTGCATTAATCGTTTATGCGTTTTATAACATTCCATACAATGTTTTGACAGTATTGCACACTGACTGAAAACCAGATCAAGTAACCCATACCCTCTCTTTCATTCGCCATGTCTGAGCCACTTTCTTTGACCCCTGGATTTTTTCTCTGTGTCTTAATTCATTAAAAGCAATTAATAAGTCCCAGTCTTTAGCTTCATCCTCTTCCTCGTGTAGATCATTCAGAAAAGGTAGCTCTAGTTCACTAGACATGATAAACAGCGATGTCTTTAAAGGTTATTCTGTCCTGGGACGCTGAAGTTATTTTGTTTACATACTGTCTTAGACATTTTCAATTTGTTAACGAGCTCAGAAGACGATAACATTTGTTCAGGATACTTCTGTAAATCAAATGAATTCAATATCATCAAACTTTCCATTAATCAATTGAAGAGACGCAGTTTTTCTTGAGGAAAACCACACATTCACCAAACATTCACCGACATGTGAGACTTCAAAGTGGTGTCTTACTAATATACGCAAAAGACCCTAGAGTATAGCATAATGAGAAAATAATTATAATAAAGCGATAAAGAAAAATTTGGTACATATGAAATTCAATTAATAATATACCAGCAAATCTAAGAATTTTATGTTTAACTAGCCTGATATGAATTTGAATTTACACACTGGTTTAAAAATTAATTCAATCGGGTTAGTAGAGCAACAAGATTTCGCTAATTGCATGTTGTTTGGAAAAAGAACCCTTATTTCATGAATAATGAATAACTTTAGCTATTTGTACTTTTATAGATAATATATTAAACTTAATAGTAAATAAAAATATATTGTCTTATTTTGCCTCGAATTATTTAGCATTCTAATCAGATCGATAACAGATTTAACTAAGTTAAATTAAGTTTTGAAAAGTTTTGCAAAAAATGGTTCAAAATCCAGGGTAAAAAAATTATGTTGGTATTCAGATAAAGGTCTCGTAACAATAAATACATATTTGAAAAATGAACAGCATACCAATCAAAATTTATAAGCGATGTTAAAATTTTTGCGTAAAAACAGACAAAGGGATAAATGGACAGAGAGACTAACAGCGACAGCTAGGACACAAAGTACTTGTATATGCTGCCGAATCTTTGATTACGGGGGCATAAAAATGTAAAAATGCACCAACCCAACCTGATACTGTGCTAAAATCACAGAGAAACGTATTTTGATTAAGATAACATGAAAAAGATAACATCTTATTCAGTGGGAATTTCTCAAGGCTTCTCATAAAAAAATAATTTCTGCTGCATACACTCAGTAGTTTCAGATTGATGTTTAATTTAGAATTTGTGCGTTTGAATAAAAATTTCAAATTTCTAACCTAAAACGTTTTGAAAGTTGAAATTTAGAATTTTGAAGTAAATTTTTAAATACCAAAATACAAAAAATGGTATTGAGAAAATACCAAATACATTCTTGGAAATTTAAAATTTGAATATTTAAGGAAAACAATCTTGAAATTCTAAATTTTAAAACCTGTTTGGAAATTTGAAAGTTTAAATAGGTTTTACTTTAGAATTAAAATATTAAATTTCAATATACTAATTGAATCATCTTGAATTCTTGAAACGTAGAAATTTGACCTAATATATTAAAATTCTTAAACTCTCAATCGTATTAGAAATTTGAAGTGTAAAGTATTAACACGGACACCCTGACCAAATAGTTTAATAAAAGAGAGGTTACAATGACCTGTAATTTGAATCATTTTTATTATTAACAGAGAGGAATTCTCATATTAAGAAGTCTCCTTTTTAGCTCACCCAAGCCGAGAGCTCAAGTGAGCTCATGATCGAAAGAAGATGGGGGGATAAGGCGGGCAGAATACCTAGCTATAGCGTCAGATATTAAGAAATCACATTTGATAAATTAAATTCAGTATTTAAATTTACTTCTCATTATTGAAAATTATGAAATTATGAGAAAAAAAAACATTTTCTGAGAGAAAATAAATCTCTTTAAAGAATAGAGGAGCGATTAGAGTGGATCATAACAAAGAACAAGAGGCCCAGGGGCCACATCGCTCACCTGAGCACATCGGGCTTGAATTTACTCCCCCCCCCCCTCCAGGCGTTCATCATTTGAACAAACTAGAATCTACACTACCTGAGGATGATTCCATATAAATATCACTAATCATAGCTTTGAAGTACTTGAAAAGAAGATTTTAAAAGGTTTCCCTATATATCCCTATGTAAAACTTGGGTTGGCCATTTTGGCCCCACCCTAGCCACGGGGGTCATGATTTGAACAAACTTGAATCTACACTACCTGAGGATGATTCCACATGAGTTTCATCTTTCCTGGTCCAGTGGATCTTCAGAAGGATTTTTAAAGATATTTCCTATATATTCCTATGTAAAACTTGGGTCGGCCATTTTGGCCCCACCCTTGCCCCGGGGGTCATGATTTGAACAAACTTGAATCTACACTACCTGAGGATGATTCCACATGAGTTTCATCTTTCCTGGTCCAGTGGTTCTGGAGAAGAAGATTTTTAAAGATTTTTCCTATATATTCCTATGTAAAACTTGGGTCGGCCATTTTGGCCCCACCCTTGCCCCGGGGGTCATGATTTGAACAAACTTGAATCTACACTACCTGAGGATGATTCCACATGAGTTTCATCTTTCCTGGCCCAGTGGTTCTGGAGAAGAAGATTTTTAAAGATTTTTCTTATATATTCCTATGTAAAACTTGGGTCAGCCATTTTGGCCCCACCCTTGCCCCAGAGGTCATGATTTGAACAAACTTGAATCTACACTACCTGAGGATGATTCCAAATGAGTTTCATCTTTCCTGGCACCGTGGTTCTGGAGAAGAAGATTTTTTAAAGATTTTTCCTATATATTTCTATGTAAAACTTGGGTTGGCCATTTTGGCCCCACCCTTGCCCCGGGGGTCATGATTTGAACAAACTTGAATCTACACTACCTGAGGATGATTCCAGAAGATTTTTAAAGATTTTTCCTATATATTCCTATGTAAAACTTGGGTCGGCCATTTTGGCCCCACCCTTGCCCCGGGGGTCATGATTTGAACAAACTTGAATCTACACTACCTGAGGATGTTTCCACATGAGTTTCATCTTTCCTGGCCCATCGGTTCTGGAGAAGAAGATTTTTTAAAAATGCCATTAATTTTTAACAAATTTATGATTATCTCCCCTTGGAAAAGGGCGTGGCCCTTCATTTGAACAAACTTGAATCCCCTTCACCCAAGGATACTTTGTGCCAAGTTTGGTTGAAATCGGCTCAGTGGTTCTTGAGAAGAAGATGAAAATGTGAAAAGTTTACGACGACAACGACAACGACAGACGACGGACAAATTTTGATCAGAAAAGCTCACTTGAGCCTTCGGCTCAGGTGAGCTAAAAATTAAAGCCATATCAATAAAATTTTTCATCTTATAAACAACAAAGCCATTATGTGTCATTTTAATTCAAAAGCATCCTTAGGAAGTGTGAACATAAGTTTGTTCAAATACCCCCCTCCCGAACACAATTTTATATTTAAACTTTTCAATACTGATTTTTAATTTGCTTTTACTTCGCCAGTTGATCAGGTATATTCATTATAAAAAATAAAATAGACTGGAACTGGAAAAAAAGAGGCCCAGGAGCGATGTGGCCCCATGACCTCTTTTTTTTTTTTAAAGTTTCAGTCTAATTTATTTTGCCAAATGTTGCTTTTTTTTTTTTAAATATACTGTTCTATTTTCAAAACCGGTTTAAAACACACCCTGAGAGGGACATATCTGCTGCGTAAATACATTAAATCCTTTTAACGTGTTTTCACAAGATGGACCTTATTTTACACATAGCATAGATGCTGTAACTCATTCCTTTGACAAACATAATCCTCTTTCTCGATGAAGAGTGTTTAATTTGAATAGATTGTGGGAGTTAAAGTGACATTTTATCAAATTATGTTAAGACTACATTTGGATTATGGTACTTTTGACTGTTCTGTAGACAATTTATACACGTAGCAATATTTTGTTTGTAATACTCACCCGTTCTCAAAAACAATGCGTCTTAAGATGTAAGCGCACCTTCCCTACCTCAAAACAGGTGGCATTGATCTCCTCTCTAAATCTACAACTAAATCTTTTGACGGCAATGTTGGGTACCATTGTGGAAATAAGAACTTAAAGGGGCATAGACACAGTTTCAGTTAAAATTTCAACTTTTATTTTTTCATTTTTACAAATATTTAACTAGAGTATTTCTAATGATCATCAAAAATTTGAACGTCAGTAGTCGAAATACAAGACAAATTTATAGCTCTAAACCTTTGTTATGTAAACAAGGTCCGTGTCATGTTTTTGTTTATATAGGTTAATATACTAATATATGTTCGTTCAAAATAGAGAATTTCAACAAAAAGATAATTTTAAATATGATTCGACAGTTTCTATTGATTTGCCGAACTTCATTTTGTTATAATTATGATATTTTTTATATGTAAACAAAAACAAGGCACGAGCCTTGTTTACATTATGAAGAACCTTAAATTCTGTATCTCAATTGTTAATCAACAAATGATGTTCAAATTTTTGCTAATCATTAGATGATGCCTTAGGTAGGAATAGCTAACATTAAAATTGGTTTTAAAAAATCAGTGGAAACTGTGTCCATACCCTTTTAATCACAAAGTCGTCCTAGTTGTTTATTGCGAGGATATCATTTTTTTAAGTGTTCAAGAACATTTGAATCAGGATTTTAAATAGATGTGTATTGTAAGGATAACATGTAATTAACCTGATATCTATTGTAGAGTATTTAGTTTCAACAGTATCTGAAATGAATTTTGAATCTTTGTCTTGCACCGAGTCTTCTCTAGAAACGCACGGTTTTTACTAGTTTAGCAAAGTTATCCAAGTTATATGTATTATGATAGGAGCGGGCTCTTTAGTGGCAGTTTTATCATTGTTATGAACTTCATTCGAAAAGTTGCTAGTATGCCTAAGAATACATTCAGAAGAAGAGTGTTAAATGATCTAGGTGAGTGAAATGACTTACTATGGATTGCTACTGAACAGAAATCACTAAGGAAAGAAAGGATTTTAGAGAGAATTGTTTTAATCTCTGCACAAAAAATATACACAGATCTTGCCACAAAACAGTTTAATTACAGAAACATTTAAGATAAGTAATACATAAAGTTTGTCGAATAACAGATTTGAAACCCAAATTTCAAGCTTGTCACATTTTTGGTACTCACTTATATTTACATGCATTGAATTTTATTATTATCTCCTTTATTTCTTAGGAAAACCATTGCCGTTTATCATTCAATAAATACCACCAAGCATATCACCTCTATAGATTTCTTGAGCACTAGCGTGGCTGTTCCATCAATGAAACATACACGGACATGTATACCAATGATCTAATAAATCCTACTTAAATCATCAAATACATGTATATATTATTTTTCTGATATATTCCAAGCTCTCTGATTGGCTCAAACTTGATCACAGGATCAAGTGTATAACAGCACATAGACTTGAGTTACTATTTATAGATTCTAATAAGCATATGGACTTAATGCTTCTAAAAATGAAAATAATTTCTGTAAAACAACAAATAGTGCTGAAATGTCAACAGCTAAGGCAGGCTTGACTTGATTTTTGTTTTTAAATTATACTTCAACTCCAATTTATAATTGACGTGATGTTCTGTAGTGGTTAGACATAACAATGTCATGAAGAAGGATCTGGTTTATATTGATACATAATATAGATATGTTTTTCAAAAATCGATACAAAACTTAATTGAACAAAGCATTTTAACATTTGTTTAAAAAAGGAAATCCACTAAATCACTGTATCGGTAAAGAAAATAAAAACGAATTTAAATACATGAAACAGATTATTATTATTTTTAATCTCTAATCCCTCAGTGTTTAAAAAAGACGAGAAAACACTTGTGGATATTTTGTCAATCTCTGTAAAAACAAGCAAATTCAAACAATTGTGGTCCCCCACTTTCGGTGTCTTTGTGGGTGAGATGTCATTTTTAATGACATATTGTGTCAAATATGAAAGCCCTATCATATGTCATTTAGAAATAATCACCGAAGTTGAATTTAAAAAAAAATAAGGTCAATCGTGAAAGGTCAAGGAGTCAGAAATCATAGCATGCTTGGAAATATCTTGTCACAGGTAATGCACATGTCAAATATGAAAACCATATCTCTTCTCAATCAAAAATTAAAAGGAGCAAGATGTGTTTGTGAAACACCGATGACCCGGTATGGCAACATAGGGAAGATTAATTTGTTCTTAAATGCAAATTATATATATTGGTACCCAAATAGGGACTTCTCACATGAGATACGTTTGTGAAATATGAAAGACCTAGCACCACCTGTTTAAAAGTTGTAGCCAAAGATAAGTTTTTGAAAGGTAAGTCAAACTCCAAGGTCAAAGGCTCAAAGTTGTTGGTTTCTTGAGAAAGGTCTTGTCACAAGTATTATATATATGTGATGTATGTAAGCCCACTTTCTTGATAAAGGTCTTGTCACAAGTATTACATATGTGAAGTATGTAAGCCCTAGCCCTTATCGTTAAAAAGTTATGGCCAAGGTTGAATATTTCAAAAAGTAGTTCAAACTCCACGGTCAAGGTCAGAGGGTCAACGTTCTTGATATCTAATAAAAGGTCTTCTCACAAGGATTACATATCACCCCTGTCAACGCGCGATCAGCAACGCGGATGCGATCGGCAACGCGGATCAAAACATTGAAGAAAGTATTGTAGGGGGTAAATTTAAATAGTTTTGTATGTGCTGGAGTGTAACCAGCTGAAAATAAAATTAAAAGACATTTAATTTAGATAATTATCTACAGTTTAGGATTTACCGAGAGTAAATTTGGTTCACAGTTTCTGTGCAAATGCTACCGATCAAATTGACAATGTTCAAAGTATCAAATTTTCATGCTTTGAAATAGTTTATTGTTGTTATTACCTAAGAACATTTGCTGCTTTTGTTATGTAACGGTTCTTGGAAGTATGAACTAAAAGATTTTAAAATTAAAACTACATACAATATCTTTAAACAAATTTTAACTGGAAAATTTGACAACCGCGAGGCGATCGTCAACGACATGTATCTTTTTATGAAGCGATCGTACAACATAGAAATAGCGATCGTACAACACACGAAATAAGAATAGCACAATTCAGAGAATCTTGTTGTCAAAAAGTTTATTTTGATATACAATAGATATTTTACATTCAAATTAGGCAATCAATCAGTCATTGTTATACCACTTTAAATCTTAAATTTTTCCTACATTTATATAGAAAATTGAAATTAACTGCGTAGATTAAAGAGATACAACTGAAAAAGAGTTTGATGGCTAACAAATATATAAAGTAGATTTTTTACCTCAATTTTCATAACAGTGCCACCCCCCACCCCCCCCCCCCAAAAAAAAAAAAAAAAAAAACCCTAAATATCTTAGATGGTTTATCATGCAAAGTGTAAGTAAAGGAACATTTTCTAAACTCAAGATTCAATTTCGGAAATGTGTTGTGTGGGATGGCGGGAGGGGGTACCGGTGTTATGATTCAAGTTCTTGAACAAACAAATTTATCCAAAAATTACCAGCTGCCTTACCCGGATTTGACTACATACTGCAAAAGGGGGACAACCATTCTATTGGTTTAGCCCCCCCCCCCCCCCAACTTCAAATTAGCCTCCCCCCTTCAATTTGCTTCCGACGTCTATGAAAGTAAAGTTTTCACCCCACCCCACCCCACCCCCGATTCCACATTGTACATGTGCGTGCATGATATTAAAATTGGCAATTAATTTTTGAAAAAAATAATACTAATAATGATAACAGTTTTCAGTAAATTAGAAAATACACTGTAATACATATAATGCTGTTATATTAACGTGTGCGTGTACAAAACATTTTTACTGAAAATATTCGGTAAAGTTGCTAGGTACGCAAATTCCTTTGATCGTTATTTTTATAGTATTAATACATATCTTTTTTTTTATTTTCTGAAAAAAATTCAGTTTTTGATATGTATGCCAACTCCTGTAATTGAACTGCCATATCATAGACAATAAAACCTTTTTTCTATATTGCTAAAATTCGGTCCTATAACACTCTATAGGTGTCTGTTTTAAACAATAATCAAATAATATCAAGAATTTAAGGTTCCATGGAGTTTTAAATTTTGTTCTCTTAAAATACGGACATTATTCAACTAATATACAAGATAAATTCGCTCTTTCCCTCTCGAAAATCAAATGCTCGGTATCTCGTTCTATTTCGACAGACTTTCCACCCATACCACATAGCTATCTATTACTTTATTTCATTAACAGTATTTTATACATTTCAAGTTGCACGATCGCATGTTTATCATATTTTCTTTGTTGTACGATCGCATATAGAGTCGTTGCCGATCGCCAAAACGTTTGGCATGTGTTCACTTCAAACCGTTATTTCAACGCTTTCTATTTGATGAAGAACTTCAAATCGGATTTAAAATTTATTATTTACCTATTTACAATTCAAATGTGCCTTTTGGACTGTCGGGTATACGTAATAAGGTAAGAAATACCACTTAAACGAGCTTCATGTGTCACGTTAGGGCAGTCATGTTCAAGGAAAACTTAACTTTAACATAATATATGGCGATTTTTAATGCTTAGAGGACTTTTATGGTGTTAAACATGTCTAGTGGCATTTAAAAAGTCAGAAATGTTGAAGGAAAATTGCGAGGAAATAGGACAAAATAATGTTTTATTTAACCTCATCTTCCTCATGTAGTTGAATTTAACTATCCGCGTTGCCGATCGCATCCGCGTTGCCGATCGCGCGTTGACAGGGGTGCATATGTGAAGTATGAAAGTCCTCGCCCTAACTGTTCAAAAGTTATGGCCAAGGTAAAAGTTTTTTTTCGGAAATCTCCAAGGTCAAGGTCAAAAAGTCAAAGTTGTTGGTATCCTATGAAAGGTCTTGCCACAAAGAATATATATGTGAAATATGAAAGTCATAGTATTTACCGTTCAAAAGTTATGGCCAAAGTAAAAGTTTAAAATTTTTCTGTAAAAGTGGGTCAAACTACAAGGTCAAGGTAAAAAGGTCAAATTTGGTGGTACCCAAAGAAAGGTCCTGTCACAAGGAATACACATGTGAAATATGAAAGTCATAGCTCCAATAAATCAAAAGTTATGGGCAAGGTTAAAGTTTTTGTGACGGACAGACAGACTGACTGACAGACGAATGAGATTCAATGTCCCCTCGCTTTCGCGAAAGCGTGTGACAAAAATAATATAACAAATGTAGCCCTTTAATTCGGTCAATCCATAGATATATCGACTTTACAGAAAAGCATTTCGACCTCGATAGATTCCTCGAAGTCTATATATCTATGGATCGACCTGATCAAAAGGATATATTTATACATGTATAATGAACACTAAAATGTCTCTCTTCGTAAGTACTGGAATTTACGTTACAGACAGCTCGAGCTTGTTATCATTTTTTAGGCAACAGTTGCAACATTAATTCCCGTACGCGTACTAATAACCAAAGAAAGCATTTTATTGTTTAAATTAAAGAACAAAGGGCTGTTTGTACAATTAATGAAATTATTAATTTTCTGCTTATTGGGAAGAGATCTACGTGTATCGCCCATTTTATGTTGATAATGTCACGTAGCATCAGTCGGTTGCGAGGCGCCTGGTTCGGGTATGTTAGAGACAGGGACTTGAATATTTTCACAAATCTCTGTTTGCTGACCATTCTCAGAGGGAGCGTTGTTAATCGGCACCACTTCCGTCTGCTTTGGCTTCGGCGGCTCCTCTTTTTGACGCACTTCCGGTTCATCCGGTTCTGAGTTTTCTGACTGTTTGTTTCTCTTCTCCTCTCGTTCTATCATTGTTTTCCCTAGCCCTGTACACGGTATAGTGTGGTAGAAGGACATCCGGAACTGTTTGTTGGTCCAGAGGTAGATAAGAGGATCCCAGATAGAAGAGGACTTGGCTACGATAGCTGGGATAGTCATAATGTAGATGGGTATGTCCTCGGAATATCCAATAATAGCCCACACACTGACTACAGTGTAAGGAGTCCAGGACCAAATATACGATGCTATAAATAAAATAATATTATCATCATCATACGAAAAAATTCCAAACAAGCTGTTCAATTTCTGATGATTCATGTACCCATATTGATGTTACAGCAGCTGCAGAAAATTAATAAAACAACCAATTTAACAAGAGATTAAAATCATTAGCACATTATTGTTTAACTTACCTAACATTAATACTATTGTGCGGAACATTTTCTTCTCGGTCATGAGATTTTTTCGAGCAACCCTGCTATTCATGTCCCATATGCTATTCCTGGCGATGTGTCTTATCTAAAAGAATAGATTCAGTGATTTCCAGTAAATAGACTCATATTCTTACATGTAACATAATCCTGAATGCATTGATGATACCAATCGTGTTTGTACTTTTGTTAGTATCAGGTTCATAGATCCTTGCTTGTTTATTTTCAAAATATGTTTGATGCAAAATTATGTTAGAAAATAGTTTTTGAAATAAGAAAACAGTAATACATGTACCTTCCTAAAGTGTACATTGTACGAATTGCTGAGATACTTTTAAATAATTGATTTTCACCGAGGGTCAATTTTCGTTGTTTTCGGGATATGAAAAGACCCACGAATTCATGTCCACCCCGAAATGTAAAATATCAAATACATAAAACTACTCAACAAATCTTCAACCACGAAATTCAATCCCCACAGTTTTTCCTCAAAGCAAGAAAATTTTACTCCACGAAAATATGTGAGTTTACAGTACTCGTTTATATCATTTGTATTTACTGCCAACCGTTGAATTAAAAATTTAAAATGGAATCTTTCAAATTTCTCTAAGATCATTTATCATTTATAAATATAAAGAATAGTCACGTCAATATTCTGAGAATGGAGGGAATATCTGTAATTTCTTTTGATGGACTTTGATAGATTATCTTCGTGACTATTGATTAATGTAGACTTTGAAGAGCATTATGTTAACATTTCTCTTCATTTCAAGTTATCAAACGAATGTGAAAATATCTCTTAATAATGAACTGAAGAAAAGAAATGAAATGTATTTCCGCTGAAGGTACTATAGTGATACGAATTGATATGACCACTTTAAGCATAATTTAGACAAAGGCAGGTCAATAGTTCAATACATCGATTAGAAGTTTATAATATAAGATACAAATATAACAAAATGATGCGTGTTTCGTGACTAGTAGATAATAATGCCATAAATAAGACTTCAACGTCGTCAGGTTTCTTTGTAGAATTTATACCATTGGCCATCAAAAAGTCCAAATCTTTATCTCCTTAATGTATTTTAAGTTGATAGATCTGAAGCCGAGAAAACATTTCAAACTATTTGGCCACTCTCTCTGTCAGTAAACCGATGTTAGTTTGGATGTGTGTATGAAATCAGAAAATATTTTACTTCTTTCCCCAGTGAAATACTTAATGCTACACTAGTACATGTATACTGTAACTAAAAGTAAAGTAATGTATCTTAAGTAAACTCTGGAGTGTGCAGTTAAATCTCAGACAAGGCACAAGACTTTCAAAAAAGTCCTCTTGAATTCGTTGCTTCAAAGGATTTGGGGTATATCATAATATCATCAGGAGGGTTATACCGGTATTATAGCTTAAGAAGAGAGACTTTACCATATATAGCGTCAGTAAGTACCTATTCATTATGCTCAGAATAGGGGCTATATTAAACTCTTAGAAAAGGGCTGTACTATAACCCCAGAAGAGGAGCTATAATATGGTGTCAGAAGAAGGATTTTACTAAATCCCTGATTGAAATCTACAAATTAAGTGATCATACTGTCATCAAAACCAAATGATTCTACTTAACGTCATTTTAACAAAAGAGTTGTACTCACTGACATCATGACAAAAGAATTGTACTCATCGTGATCACAACAAAAGAATTGTACTCAGCGTTAGCACGAAAAGAGAATTGTAGTCACCGTCATTATGACAGATGAATTGTACTTACCGTCATCATAACAAAAAATTGTACTAATCGTCATCATGACAAAAAAATTTTAATCACCCTTATCACGCCAAAAGAATTGTACCCACCGTCATCATGACAAAAGAATTGTACTCACCGTCATCAAGACAAAAAAATTGTACTCATCTTCATTATGACAAAAGAACTGTACTCATCGTCATCATGACAAAAGAATTGTACTCACTGCATCATGACAAAAGAATTGTACTCACTGCATCATGACAAAAGAATTGTACTCATCGTCATCATGACATAAGAAGTGTACTCATCGTCATCATGACAAAAGAATTGTACTCACCGTCATCATAACTCTGTAGTAAGAGAAAAAGATAACAGCCAATGGTATAATTAAGCTCCATATCGTAATAGCAATGTTGTAACTAGCCGAACCAAACTCTCTCGAGTCCCATTCTACGGCACAAGATGTTCGCGCAGGCTCATACGTGTACTTCCCCCATCCAAAATGGGGAAAAGACGCCCAACAGAAGCCTTGAAACCAAATCAGGAGCACTACAACCACGGCCACTCTAACTGTGATCTTGTTAGCCTGGAGAGGCTTGGCAATCATGATGTACCTATCGTAGGCGATTCCAGCGTGTGTGTACAAATTTGTAAGTCCCATCAAATAAAGCCAGAATCCCTCAAAAGTACATACATTGTCTCCCCAAAAGTAATGACGATTAAAGTTTGATGTCATTGATATAAACGCGCCACAACTCATCCCCGCGTCTCCCACGAGAAGAGAAATGACAAAAATATTTGTTGGAGATTGCAGATGTTTATTTTTAGCGAAAACTATTATACTGGTGATGTTCATAAATGGTCCAATTATAACAACACACAAAAGTCCAGTTGCTATGGTATAGTACATGGGTACAGGAACCAAATATTTCGGTGTTACAGTTACTTCAACAGAAACATTAGAATCATTAATGGATGTGTTGTGCTGCATGGCGACTGTTGACGATTGGAAGAGGATATAATGGTACATCTGTAGGTGAGAGAAGATTTTATCTGATTTTATTCGCTGAGAATTGCGTGGCGACAGTAATGTAAAGTCTGGGAATCGGAAGCCAATCCAGAACGGGTGTATTTAATGCATCTACATACAGCATTCACGTAAAAACCTCTTCTATAACTCTAAAAGGGGGAGATAAATTGGCAGGATACTTAATGCAATGTCAATCACAATTGTTTTCTTGTCAGAATTGAAAATTAGAATTAGTGTATATATATCCCAGAGGGACCCTCTTTGTCAAAAGGAAATGCCAACTAACGGTAACCAATTATGTATTTTAAAAAAATGCAGTCCCGTTAACTTAGAAGAATAAATTCCAAATGATATTTAAAATATCGAAAAAAAAAAAAACTGAAACATATATAGATTTAATTAAAAAGGGATTATTAGGAAAGTCACGACTTACCTTTGTATTTATTTTCAGGTATATAAACAGGATAGTGAGAACTTATGTGGAAATTTGCGACAACAAAGTCTATCCTTTACTTTTTGACTGTACATATGATGAAGTTTATAAAGTAAAGGGGTTTCAATATATACTGGGTGGAAACATTTGTTATACTTACCTAAAGACCCACCAGTGCAACGTAATACGCCGCTGATCTTTTGTATCTTCATTACAAGTGCCGCTAAAACCTAAGAGTTGACACGCAACATATCCTTTGTGAATTCTTATGGTTTCTAATGCACATTATACATCTGTCTTGGACGAACTGAATTTAGAATGAAGAAAATACTAGTATACGGTCGTTTTCTCTTCTCTTGCTCTACAAAGAGGAAATTTGAAAAATATACTTAGTACCCACAGGGGCATCTTATCCACTCTGTTCTCTACTTCACATATAATCTCAGAAGTACTGAAAGCCGCGCTCATTTACAGGGTAATGAACAAAGGCAATGACAGTTTAAAAAAAATTCATTAGACATTGTAAAGGTGATTATATAACTATATATATATGTCATATTTAGCATTAAAAAGCTTTAAAATTAATTTAAATGTAGCTAGAATTTAAAAGCGTAAAATATTTGTCACATGTATCATTTCCATACCAACAGAAGGATGATTATTTAAGCCAAACAATTAGACTGTGTCTTACATCAAGATTAATGACCATTTATAAAATCTGATAGTACACCCTTCACATTTAAACAGGGATATTGAAAACCTCTTTTAACCAAATGATTAATCATTGAAAAAGATATAGTAATTATAATTATTTTTTTTATACAAAAATGAAAAAACACCTCAAAGGTGATTGGGGTTTTCAACTAAATAATTAAAATTTTCTGTTGCTACCGTCGCACATAGCATTTCTCTACGAATAATTAATAAAAAGTAAATATCAGTATACATCGAGGAAGTATTTTCATTTACTATAGTTACTTTCATTTATATGTCGACACGATATCTCGCAGTGAACTTGATATAAAAGACACCATAGAGACACTTCTTTTTCATATTTAGATATTTTACCAGAAAAAAAAAGTTAATGGAAACCCAAATAGCAAAACCTTGTGATAAACGTTATACAAAAGATGAAAACACTTTGTGGGGTTTTCAACTAATTATAATAGAATTAATAAATAATTAATAAAAAGTAAATACCAATATACATCGATGAAGTATTATCATTTACAATAGTTACTTTCATCTATATGTCCACACGATATATCCCTGAACTTGATATAGGCCTTTATTTACACACGGAAATTAATAACAAAGCTTATGATAAACATGGATATAATCCGTTTACTGTAGATCATTACATGAAGAGATATATTCCATTTACAAGATCATAACAAAGAATCATCACACAGCGGCCATGACCAGTACATAGAGGTTGTTTTCCTCTCCATGGCATTCGTTTACCCCTCCTTTTTATTAATTAAATTGACTGTTTGTTATCTCCATATTTCATGTACTAATAAACTCTTTCCACCTGCATATAGAGACCATGTCTTCTGGTTGATTCGATACACAAGAGTATGCTCTACGTACATACAGTTTCTAAAATGAGGCAAGTTATTGACAAACAAGTTGAAGAACGAATGATATCAACATTTTCCTTTGAAGTCAACGTTTAGCAAGTTCCATGGTGGACATAATGACCTTGTCAGCAAATTCAATCCATCATTTAAGCCAAGTTTTGAGTGTAAGTGAATTTTTTTTATAAATACAAAGTGTTAGGGTATTGATTAATGATTTTTTTTTACTTACTTCGATCATGAAAGAGGGCACACGTCGACCGTGAGGGAAAGGAGCTTTTGCTCTAGCGTCACGGAGTAAAAAAAATTAACCTAACTCCGCAGGTTCGAATCCTCCTACGGAACATGGAGACCTAACCTTTGAATGCGACGGTAAAAACCGAGATCTCGTGCTGAAGTAGGTGTTTGGCTCTCACTGCTCAATAACCCAGAATGAATTTGTAGCCTTCCCCTAGCAAGTTGTGGTGTCTCAAAAAATAAAAAAAAAGCATATTGAAAGGAACTTTAAAGAAGCCAACTAACAAAAAAAAAAAAAAAAAAAAAATCCGCTCACGGCGGGTGTAACGATCGACAGAGGATGCTTATCTCTCCCAGGCACCTGACCCCACCTCTGATGTTTTCCGAGGCCCGTCTTGAATCCCCTCTAAATTTTATTTATTTCATGGAATTTTGAGCTTTGTTAATGTTTCTTATCTTTATATTTCATTTTGAAAATCATACAGACTGAAATGTTCCAAGTCGATCTAATAAATATTGACTCTCCTTTTGCAAATGGAGATTAAATACCAATGAAAATAACCCTGTTATAAATAAACAATCGTCTACCGATTCACTACTGTTTAAGGAAGATATTGATCAGGTCATCAGGTCATTATGAAATTCCAAGGATGAATAAGTGGATATTATAGAAGGGCGGATCAATGCTTATAATTAGAAAAATCTATGGCTTTCTGCGTGAGAACAGGATTTCATTTTACCAATACCAGTGTAGAGTAACAGATCAGTTGGGGACTATATTGGAAGACAAATAATTGACTAATATGGCCACCTGATTATTAACTTCATTACTATGTAGAGAGAAATAATTATTACGGCACTGTTTGACCATTTTTTTAAGAGGAAATTATGAATAAGTCATGATTATTTGCTTATTATTTCTAAAACAAATCATAAGATGACTTTCATTACTGTATTTAGAAATTTAAAATTAATGTGTCATCCGATATTGGAAGCTAGAACTCCATTCAGGAGTTTGATATTTTGAGGGGACAGGTTTAATCGTTCTGAAATCATTTATACTTGATGTGGTAAACAATGAGTTTCTTGCATATTATACTTTCTATAAGCTTTTTAAACAACCTTAGGAAAGCCCTAAACACAAAGAAAAAGTGCTTTTTGGACTTGGGAGAAAAAAAAAATGATTTAAAGGTGTGATATTTTGAGGGGACAAGTTTAATCGCTCTGAAATCATTTATAGTTGATTTGGTAAACAATGAGTTTCTTGCATATTATACTTTCTATAAACTTTTTATACAACCTTAGGGAAGCCCTAAGCACAAAGAAAAAGTGCTTTTTGGACTTGGAGAAAAAATATATGACTTAAAGGTGTGTATATTAAAACTATGAAGGATATGGGGATAACGAACAGTATTCAATATCAAAGTCCATAAAACAATACAAAATAGGAGCAGAGCAAACATGCACCTCTAAAACATCAAAGGTTGGATCAGATGCCATGGAGGAGTGAGCATCCCCTGCTGACCGATCACATCCGCGGTGTGCTTCTTGTCATGATCGGGAATTAACGGAAAAATCAGTCGTCAATTTAGTGTATAAATAACGGACTAAAAATTAGTATGAAAAACGTCAGTCAGCATTTGACTCAATGATAAATTGTATTTGCTGACAAGGTCATTGTATCGACCAAAGAACTTAAGAAATGATGACTTTAAACGAGCATGCTGAAATTCTTGTTTCATCAACTTGTTTGTCAATAATTTATCTCGTTTTAAAAATTGTTCATGCGTAGAGCATGCTCTTGCGTATCGAATCAAATGAGATACCAGTAAATAAACTCCGTACAATGAGCACCCCGCGGATGTGACCGGTCGGCAGGGGATGCTCACTCCTCTATGGCACCACCTGATCCCACCTCTGATGTTTTGGAAGTCCGTGTGTGCTCTGCTTCTATTTTGTATCTCTCCATATCCTTCATTATGCAACAATGCGCCTTTCTCAACTTTATTTAGTATTTTTTTATATTAATAATCTGTTTACACAAAAGAAGAGGTAATGCCACCTCAGAAACCCTCACAAATACATCATCACCCTGGGTGCCAGGAGCTCCCTGGATCTGATAGAAAGAATTTAATTTTGATATATTTAGACGCACATATATTTTGATTTTTTTTTTACATCAAATCTGTATTTAAACATACTTCAGGATAATAGAACCATATATAATATCACAGTTTTTCTGACAATTCTTTATTGATTTTGAAATCACATGCAATACTTTTTGATCATTTTGTTATGAAATATAACTGAGTAAGTGCAAATTTAAGAAGCACAATAAAATCTCATTAGTAACAATCTCATGTACAGGTTCATTTCATTTACTGAGTATTTGTATATTTTGTATGTAATGAAGGATATTAATATATTGTTTGAAGTTAAGGTATTTTTATCACAATTTACTTGTTAATCTGTAACTCGAAAACATTTGGAACACAAAAATACAATAGATGCGCATGCCTAGGCACGGAGTATAAATACGATATGCAGACTGTAGTCATAAAAATCTACAAGATCTTGAAATCTGTATGTAGATTGGGCATGACCTTTCGATCTGAGAGGCATTGCTTCAAATTAAGCTTAAAATAAATAAAGAAATGTTAAACTATGGTTAACTATGGGTTAAACTACACAGCAATAAAAAAGATGTTAAA